CATTGTACAATGGTATTAAGTGCCGAAATGTGCACTTCTGCCTACACCTTCGGGGATAAAAAGGCGTGATGTTATGTTATAATCTTAAAATAAACTATTTTTTTTATGGGATAAGCGGATAAGCCCGTAAACGAGCGTACGAATCACGAACACCAGAGCACACCAACATAAGTGCTTTACTGGCTTTTTTTGGGATTAGGAATTTGAGCATTTTTGGAACTTAGGGATTGGGAAAGGGGGGAGGGGTAATTGGGCCTCCGGTAACCTCATTCACGCGACGAAACACAACGCAAGCGTTGTTTCACGTCGGTCATCTCTTAAACCGTGTATCACTCCGGTCGAGCCGGCCCATTCGTGCCGAAGCAAGGCTCTCCCACACTTATTTGGATAGACCTAGAAATCCGTACCTTTAAGCGAGAAAGAAATTAACTTGGGTCTAGGTTTTACTAGCTCTGCCAGCGGTTACCCCTGCTTTCCCGTGGGATAAAAAGTAGCCTATGGTCTGGAATAACAATTCCAGACCTTAATCTAACTACCCATGTGCCATACATCCCGATCCATTAACCCGTGAAGAAGTAACCATACAAACTTTCGCATTTATAATATTACTAGGATCTGTGCATGTAAATGATCTTATAACTTACTTATTGCCACAATCCAATCACATTTTTATCCGGATATACGAATATAGTTTCCGTATTCAAGTCGCAGTTATTACCACAAGACTAGGGCAGCAACACCTTTATATAAGTTTAAAAGCTTACATAACGCTAACATACACGTTAATATTCCGGTACTCAATACAAGTCAGCGAAACCCAATTTTACGTACAATTTAACGATTGTAAAACACGGCATCGAACAGCAAGTGAAATAACAAGGCCTTATTTGAAGTAGATAGATACAATATTTTAGAACTTGTGAGTACTAAAATTCTAATGTCGAGCGTGACTGCCAAAATTAAGGTCATAGATCAAACAGGGAAAAGTATTATTGACGTTTTCGATTGTGAAATCCATTAGCGCGAAGTCTGCAATTCTATGTTAGGCTTCTTTTAGAAACATGTCTGTGTCTGTGCCTGTTGATGCATTCTTTTGTTCGTTTATTCTCCGAACAGGCAACAGTAGCACCTATGCCAATAGGTGCTACGAATCCCATTAATAGGGAATAAACCAAAATAACGCCAACCATAATTCCAAACCATAGGGTTTGAGTCTATTGAGTTTACTGACTGTTAAGTCTGCTAAGGAGTGGAATTATTTACCAGAGTCTGTGTTTCCTGAAGGGTATATATAACCTGGATGTCTTCAAGGCCCGAGTAAATAGGTTGCTTATGGCATTGGTCGACGTGCACCTTCGTAGACCGCAACATCGCTTACCATAAGGCGAGATAGTGGTCAAACGTCGTCCTATCAAATATAAAAAAGGGATAAACCCAAACAATTACTTGTAAAACCCGGAATATAAATTTAACAACCTTAATCAGCAGTTGCACTTACTATACTAAACAATCGAGGCAGTCTCAACCTATCCCTAAACAGTATAACAATCGTAACGTTATTTACATCGAATACCTACTAAATATAGTCACACCTGACCTGAAAAGGACCAGCTGAAGCTCGGCCCGCATGCGCGGTGACCGATTTTCAAGCAAAATGTAGATGTCAGGGTCGCATAGTAATATTAAGGACGGAGGTCAATGTCCGGTCTCTCAGTACAAATGTACTGGAAGATTTTCAGTGTAGTGGACTGTTTCCGTAGAGATTTTATTAATAAAATGATAAATGTATTAGAAATTAGGATTGTGTTCGTTATGGTCAAGGGTGGGTTAAGGCTTCCTAAGGTGTCTATAAAAGTGTAAGACCTCAATTTCCTAACGCTGAACTTCGTAGACATCCGCGACATTGATAGGACAGAAATCAGTAAAGTCGTGTGTTTCATCAATGGATTTTTAAATCTTTTCTTTTTGTAGTAGAGTAGAAAATCTATTAATCCTCCGTCTAGAACAGATTGCATATGAATAAATGTTTTCCTTCCTTTCTGTATTACTAATACACAAAGTCAATCTGTGATTGCGTTCAACTGTGTAAAAGTTTGATTTATCCGGGTAATGAAGTATGGAATTCGTAAAATCATGAACAGATGACGCGCTTACTACTAAAACAATGGACCATTTACGTCTATCAGTATACTAAGAATTCATTACTAAATGAGAATGTTTGTTTGTTATGTTCATTAATACTACGAAAGCACTGAACAGATTTCGATATAGAGGACTTAGAAATAGCTACAGTTTTTAGAGCAAATAGGCATCAGAACTCTTAACCGACCACCCCTAAACCATCTCTTAACTAAGAGTTACTTAACGTGAGGAAAGACCTAACCTAACCCAAAACCTTTTACTTGTACAGTAAGGTGTCACTTATAGGTTTGTGAAAACTTTAACTAAAACTTTAACTTTAGATTCTTTAGATTTAAAAGTTGCCGTTTTATAATAACACAGGAAGCAAGCAGTTTTAATTTAAAAAGAAATACGAGTACCAATAACACGCACGTAAGAAAGACAATAAACTTCAAAGATATGTAATGTATCCGTCGATTATTCTAGAAATACCTACCTACTTCAAAGAACAACTGGACAGGTTCATTATTCACGTGCAAAATGATGGATGGTCCAAGGCCAGTGAGCAGATGTCTAAATATCCAGCTCTTTTAGTCTACAGAACTATTGATCGGAATGGCTTTAAATGAAAAAATGCTTGAAGATTGTTCATTGGTTATGTATTTCAAGATGTCCAAGCATTCTTGTACTGAAGAATTGATTGGATTTATGATATGGAAGAAGTTCTGGAGACGCGAGAGAAGTAAATAAGAAAATTTTTGTTATATGGATTTTACGCTTTCACTCGTGTTTAAAAGTAATTTAATTTGTATAGTTGTAATAGAGGGTAAAGATGTTTTTTATGCTGAATGCTAATTTGGATGTCTGTCGGTGTTTTTGTTTCATGATGATAGTAATATATGTATTAACTATGGGCATATAAGTGTGCGCATAACATAGTACATGTATAATTTTACTTCAGGGAACTTATGTGATTAAAATAAAAGTGACGGACACGTCTAATCTCGCACTACTCGATAAATATTTAGATTATAAATATAACACTGCACACATTTCTCATCATTTGTTTCTTTAAAACAATGTGTTTGAAATGAAACTGCACCCTATTTTCGGCTTTCATCCATGATACTAGAGTTCAAATTGAACTGAAGGAAATGTTATCAAGACCAGAATGGCTGGTGCCTACCACTACCACATGTAAGTTTCGAGCGCATAAAACCTCAATGATGCATTAAATTCAAGTTTTTATAACTCCATAACTTATTATAGACCGTCAAAACTTGTTTTTAAGATTCATTTTTGGTTGCGGCGTTCACCAGACATAACAGACATAAATCAAATTGCAACTAGCAGTAGCACATCATCAATTTCAGTTGTCCATAATCATGTAATTTTGGAATGAATTTATACTTCATCTTCATTTATTGGTGTCTTTTATGCGATTTGAAACTCAAATGCATTTCGAAAGAGGCAACTCTATTGTTAGACTCAAAACTCTCTGCTATTAATGAAAATCTTGAATGCTAAAAATCCAATAGAACTAGATCACAATAACTGCTGTCTGATCCGTACTGCTCGTATTCCACAAGTTGGAACAAAAATAGTAGACACGGGGATCTTTTAGAGCTAGAACAATGACTAACTACACTCACCTCTCCATAGCCTTATCAGGGTCGATGTCGAGGAAGAACTCGTCCTCATGCAGTACAGCCATCACGGGGTTCTGTAGGACTGCGACCAGGAACTGACGAGCTGGTGTGTGTCCATCACGGTACACCGCGTACAGGGAGGATAACGCACATTTGCCAGTGCGGAAGAACCTGTGAACAATTTATTTAAAACACCTTTGTTGTGATTGTTAGCCTTTATCCCCATAAAAAGTTCCCATTGTCAGATTGCTCCATTCGATTTTTGGATTACCATGATACCATTCATTGATTACTAAACAGATTTTTGATTAAAAACTGAGTCACAACTGAAAATGGACTATAGATAATGCAGCAGGAGAAAATCTGGGTGTCTTCAAGGCCCGAGAGAATAGGCGGAATCATTGCTAAAAGCGACTAAGCGCCGTGTACCTATCGGAAATGTAGGTAACTATGTTAAGAAACCAATGTCAATATCATGTTTAAAAGTATACTTACTTCCTAGGATCACTGGACGGTGCCATCTGATGTTTGATGAGCGACCTGATGACGGCCAGAAACCTGGTCCTGTCTGAAGCTGACCGACAGCTGCCGTACAGCCCAGACATCAACGCCACTGGTAGACTTGGCGGAATGCTGTCCTCGCCCAGGAGGAGGCAAAGGGACACCAGGTGAGGGGATTCGCGGAGCCATCCTAGAAGCTCACCTAGAGCTGTCGCTTCCTAAAGAAAGAAATAAACATATTTTAAAGTTAGACAGCATATCTGTTGTACAAGATTTATAAAAAAGAGCACGTTTGTAAAGAATGTTTTAATTGAAGTAAAATGCGTCATACGATAGTTTCAATTCGATTAAACTGCGCGTGACTACAATATTTTATTGCACCTTCTACAGACAGAGAATCAACGCAACATTATTTTACATACTGTGTAATATTAGGCCTATTTTATCCGCAAATGGGAAACAAACGTTTGCTAACAGTAACTCCTAGTTATCGCTACTGTTGTTATTGCTCAATGTGAAATAAGGGTGTGTCAAATTGGTAAGGTGTTCATAGGGTATTCATGTCTATCTATACATATAATAAAATCGTAGGAAAGTGAAAACTGTACATCCATTTTTTTTAAAAGCATCCTTTTGCGTGGTTTACAGTCGATACCGAAACCAAAAATATAGTTTTTAGAATTTTTGTCTGTTTGTCTGTATATATGTCCGGGATGAATTCAAAAAGTGCTGCATGGATTTACGTCAAATTTTGGGTCGGTCCGGATCAACATAGAGGCTACATATTATCATGTTATCAACTACGGGGGAGGACCTGTGAATCACTATTCCACGCGGACGAAGTCGCGGGCTCAGCTATAGTACAGTAATAATGTTTTTTACAATAGTTATTCAAACAGATGTTATATGATAACGTATTGTATGTGCAATGTAGGTACATAATGCATGTTGTTCCCTGTTTTCTCTTGACCTACGACAATAACTTCGCGGAGGCGGTAGGTCATTGCGTGTTTCAATTACCACGACGTCCGTCGTCTGTCAGTCTGTTCCATTCAACATTTCCCCGCGGTAATATTGTTACTGATTCCATTTATCGGATACGTTTTAGTCAATTAAACTTCAATGCAGCCATTCAGATGGGTCTTTATTGATTTATATGTCGGAACGGTCATTAGTACGAGATTTCGATTTACTACAAAACGAAGGAATAACAACAAAATGAATAAAGATGGCGCGCTTCAAGAGTTAATTGTGACGTCATGTCCGCCTAAGAGTGGGGGAGATTGAGTGACTTTCAACATCGCAGAACAGCAGGCACTTTTGGCTGGGACTCCGAACGAACAACGACGCACTGGGAATGCTGTCGGCCGAATAATGATTGCAATCATCAGAATCAGTGCTGTGAAATTGTCATTGACATTATATTGTTTGAGATTATAACTGTGAATATTATTACAATGTAAGTGGACTAAACTTTGATGTATTTTGACCATTTGTGAACTTTGAAAGGGACTGAGACCTCTGAGTTTGTTTCGGCGTTTCTTCTCAGAGTAGTCCGTAGGAAATGCCGACTTAATTAAAATGCGAACAAGTAAAGGTGCACTGTCGAAAGTAAACGTTACTTTATTTACGAAGATTTAATTGTTTTATTACTGCATAAACATGCCTCTACCGATATATATGACGAAGACGGCTCTCGCTTGACATCGCCCATACCATCCTCCGACATATATAAGAATATTTAATTTTATGTGCATGTACTTGCATTCGTGGCTAGTCTAGTAGTTATAGGTAAGAAATACGTCGTATTTTACTGCAAGGACATGTGTAAAAAGAAACAAATAAATTAATTAATAATGGAAAGATTTTCTTTATACTAAAATTGTGCGCTGCGCGACGACGCCGCGACCGCGCACGCTGCTCATTAGCAAGAACCCCTCTGTGGTTCGAAACTAGTAGAGCTTTTCTCAGTATATTCACGTGAGTAACCCGCGTTTTTACTTAATTTAAAATTGTGCGTTTTGTATGGTTAGTATCTTTCACTTCTGTTCAATAAATCTTCTTAAAGCAAATGCGAAAAACAAATTTACTAATTTTCTACGTGTCACAGACGTGTTATCGTGGCTGCTTTTCATCTTTCGTGGAAATTACTCTCATTTTAAATAATATGTAGCACATTATTTACTTTATTATTTAGTTAACCATCATTCCATTTTAACAAGTAAACAATAATATAGCATTACAATGTAAAACGAATCGCTAAACAATTGCGTTTAGCAAGTCGTCGCGAACTAGCCGTCGTCACCGCCACTAGCACTTCCTGCTGCCGCGGTCGCGGGTCAAAAGTATTGTTTGCAATTCATGCGAACGCATGGTGCATTGTACGTCAAACATGCATGCCTAACGTATTACAGGGGCCTGGATATTACACACAATATAAAATATACGCACTTTAGTCAAGCTAGGAAATATGAGCAAAAAGGAATTTAGTTGAGCAGACCAACATGTTCAAGATTATTTATCATTTATAATGCTTCATAAAATAGATTTGGAGGTTCAAGTCTGTTACCATTGCTATACATTCATTTGTTCAATCACTACTCTTTGGCTGTGGAAGGAGTATCAAACTACCCAGTTCTACAGATGGAGCTCGTATCGCTCTAACAAAGCATTAAAGAAATCCAATATGACCCAACTTTAAAACGCAATTTTAGTTACCGATGTACTAATTTACCGAACAAGTTTTATATTTTTTTTGCATTGCAGAGGCACGTGTACAAACAGCAAATGGAGATTCGGACCTGCGATTGTATCCTAAATAAATATTTTGAAATACTCTCGAAGAGACGTCCGGTATGTCAGCTTGAACTTCAACGAACATTTAACAAAAAGGTACAGGCGTTGTTGAGTTATGCGCTCTCCAACACATTTTGTGATGACTTACAGAATATCGGCATATAAATTCAAAATCTGGGTTTATATGTTATGTGGTTTGTCCAAAACTAAATGTGTAATTTAACTGTCTAGCAAAGTCGGGAGAAATCAGCCACATGTTACGACGTTTCTATCAAGTTTACCGTATTGCAGAAACGAGCAATAAATCATTCAGTACTCATAAACACAGGTTGGGAATAGCTTAGAAATGCCCATAACGAACTGGTACCTTTACTTCCTGTTAGCGTAGGTCATGGAAGGGATTGTTTATGAGTCCGTGAGTCGTATAATGTGTATTCCGCATTTATTGTTTGCGAGTTGGCGCTTTATTATAGATAGACGGTTCTGATGCACCTGTACTTGTTCTAGTTAAAGTTATGAAGATTGCTATTTTTCTAATGGAATAGAGATGCTAGTTTACTTTTCCCAAGACATCAATGTGTAATCTACGGATTATGGACATTTTTCCGCTGTTTTTATGGGACTGGGAGGGACGCAACTTTGTCCTGTAGAGATGTTACCGTATTATTTGCAAATCAACTGAATATTGGCTACAGTGTACGTACAACTGTACATTCTATCATTGAATTCATTTAATTTACAGTTAACAATAATCACTGAGTGGTGACAATACTATCGAACTTTCTAACTAAACTATTGTTTTAGTTTTGCCTTTTATTCGTAACTAGTGCTGATTTCTAAATGCCAATTTTCCTTATTGCATCAATCGATTTTTGTTTAATTATTCAGCTATTTTGGTATTGTCGAATGTCCTGTACAAGTTCATTTGACTTTGAACTTTCCGCCACGGGTTTTTATGTATAATAATCGGTGACATAGTGACATGGGTACTTTTTCCTTCCCTGTGTCAAAATATGTAGGACTTTGGACAGTGATCAGTGAGACAGTTACTGGCTGATGATGATTAAGGTTCCTTTAGCAGATTATTACAAAAATAAATTTTATTTATGAAAACAGGAGTTATTTGTTAAATCCCAAGTGTACACATTAAAAACATTTGCGCTTACCAACACACGCAGATAAATCAATAATAATTTAATAACAGATAAGCGTTAGTTATTGATAGTTTTGTAAACATAGCATCATTTTATGGGTGTAACAAGCTGCAATATTAGATAAACAACTTCTAACACTACCGACAAGGGGACAGCTCGGATCAATAAGGTGCATTATTGATAAACAGTCTAGCGTGAGACACTGCCGATTGCTTAGGTATGGTTCGAGGACAAGTGCCGCTAAACTAGATCGATAAATACTGAAGGGATAGTGTTTATAATGATCATATTGGCATGTCTTCTTTGGATTCGAATGACATTAATATTGAAAGTTATACATATTATGATAGGAGAGTATCATATTCCGATGTTTTTCTAGCGACTGTGCCTAGGTAATTATTATTAACTATGTTTGCTAATAACACGCTATGTATATGTACAGTATTCCTTATCTTATAATTAAAATTAGATATTAATTTGTCTGTCGTGGATTAAGGTCGTGGTTGAAATATTAGCGCAAATAGCAATTTTCCGCCATAATCCGATAGATATGTTTGAAATTAGATGTACGGCTACGTATTGTGAGAATAAATCGTGGGAAGGACCTACCTATATGTATTTTAAGTTTGGCATTAAATATTTCCTGTTTAGTCGTTTTGGAGAAATGATGACACATTATTTCGGTACTCGTGTCATAACTCCGTTTCGTCTTGACTTCGTCATAATATTGGTTTCGCATCCCACTTATGGGGGGCGGACTTATCATCAGTTTCAATGTAACTGTAGTAATATTGTACCAGGAAATACGTATGACATAAAGTATTATTCTGTAGTAAATTATGATAAATTTATTTATGTTTAGTGTCTAAAGTAAGTCAATGAGACTGCGAGGTTTTACTATGCCGTGTTTCCTATTCTGCATGCCAAACTGATTATCGTTGGTTAGGTTTGGGACCGTAAAAGCAATTGAGATTGCTGAATACTAGGTTTTGAGTCAAACTTATATTAGGTCAAAAAATACCTAGTTAGGTTTTAAAAATTTACTATAGAAACAGCATTATTTTTCGTGTCTAAAAAGGGATTTTTAATATAATTCATTTATTCCTTTTTATAGGCTAAATACTATCTGTGAAAAGCTCTATCTAAAATGACAGTCATACAAAACCAAGAGAGACATAAAACATTTTCAACATCCAAATGAACACAAATTTTAACAAAATCCGTACCTAAACCAAACCAGCTCTACTCCGAAGCCACAAATCAAACTCATTGTGACTCAATTCACCTAATTTCCTGTTTGACTGCCCTCACATTATCCATACACAGCATACTCATTCACTGGTAGTCGTCGACTTGTCACACATTCACACAAAGGCTTATAACAAGGTACCAACTGTACCAGGTACCTACATGGTAATGAAGACTATTGTTTTAGTCCACCATGTGTGACTAGGGGCAAGTTATTAAAACAATGTGGTACAGGTACACCCACATTGTAACATGCTTTATTGTCTGTCTGCGTGTTTGTTTTAACTATGAACTTTCACTATATTGTTATGGGATAATTTGTAATTATTAATTAGTATTTGATTAGGTGTAATTGATTACATAACATAAGTAATATCACGGTTCTTAATTCCCAGGGTACTAGAGGTGCACATACAAAATGCTATACTCGGTTTACAGGGGTTTTAAGGGGTTGAACTTATAACAACAATTCCCCACTATGTAATATTACTGAGAAATGCGGACAAACCCCAATAACACTGAAACACCCATTAACTAATGAGGCAATTTTATTTTATACTCCTTTCCCAATATTGATAATTAAACAAGTATAATTTTAGAACAAACTATGAGTAACTGTGTACAATTAGGTCATTATGTACGCTACTTAAGCTGTGGACTTATTAAACAAGAACAGTTTTAGAAGATAACCCCAGACTGTTGATAAACTAAATTAAATTAGATCAAGTGTAGTGTGGGGTATTGAGGGAACAGAAATTGGATCATTATGTTTCACAAGTATTCTGTGTTGTTGTCTACTACCTATAATAGTAGGGGAGCCCATGAAGAGATTTCAATAATTACTCGAGCATGTCAGATGTGGGAAAACCTAGTGTCATGTTGAATATAGCCACCATATATCCGATATGATTAGAAGGGGGGGGGGGGACTAAAAAAATAAATCAAAAAAAGTCAACTTTGTCAGATTAACGGCAGAGAGGTTGATAGCATGCTAATGGAAGTATGTTTAAAAAATTGCCCATTTGAGCTTGATTTGCAGATTTTGAAGAGTGCTCATTTGTATCCTCCAGAACATTCAACCCCACCATGCAACTGGCAGATTAAGATATTTTCATTATGAACACATGGAGCATCTAGACAATATCTGACACGCTCGACCACTAGAACAAAAGTTACTTCCCCTACCGGCAGAAGAAATTGTCATTAAATCATTTTTTCGTTCTATCAGCATATCTTCAAAATCTACTAATTAGTCAGCCATACTATGAATTAATTTATCAATTAAGTAATAATGTATAGTATTTTTATTTTTCACTTATAACTTGTCTCATAGGTCCTAACAATAGAATGCGCTACAATACTAATTAGATATTTGTAAAATATGTTGGTAAGTTTACAACTCTGGGACAGGTAATTCAATTTATAAAGGTTGACTATTCGGCTAAGAGTGAAACATTTGAATCATAATTAGAATATATATGTCAAAACATAATAAATGTCAGTAGCTACCTAAAATTATATTTCGTATTATTTAATTTATTGCATTTTAAAATAAACTGGCAATATGAGAATGCAGAATAATTTACAATAATGGTAATTGATGGAATAAATTATAAGGATTTGTGAGTAATAATTCAATCTAATGAACTATCTTGAAATTATTTAATAGTTACTGATAATTATAAAAAGTGGGTGGACATGTAGGTCATTGCTTTGTAGTGCTATCAACCAACTTTACAAGTACTATTATGTTGAAACTATGCTTATATCAGAATTAATAAACCAAACCAATACATTGTATTTTAGGATGTAATAGTTTTTAATTATTTTATTGAAATGTCATGTGACTAGAATAACAAAAAATAAAATACAGATGTAGGTACTTACTTATAAAGTTTAGTCTTGTGGTTATTTTCTATTAATTAAAAATGTATGACTTACCTTGTACTTCAAGACTTTAAAGGCGTCCACAAAAATCGTTCGTTCAAGGTGACTTGCTCTCTGGCAGTATGCTATGGAATCAGCATCACATCTTGATGTAATTAAATTCGTAAGGTTTTGCCGCTGTTGCAGGCAGATCCAGGCCACCTGCAGAAGTTCTAGAGCTCGTTTCTCAACCTCCTCATTGAGCTTCTGCAACAGCTGCCTTTCAGAGTTGATAAATATCTTCTCACGCCTCAGCTGATTCGCTAGCTCGGCGATATTCATACATCCCTCCGTCGTTGACTGCATTATGATCGAACATACACAATCAAACGCACAATAACAAACACATTTCCACTAAAATGTTTATGAAATTGTATTTTCACGTCATTTCATCAAACAAGTTTCTGACACTTTTTCACTTCCTTCATTACACTTGCGTACTTAAACTCGCACTAGTTTTTGTTAGCCATTTATCGTTAATTTATTAATCCTGAAGGAAACTAAGTACACAATTTCTTGTAGAATTCCAAAATATCTCGTTTTCTCTTTTCGGAAAGTATGTAATGCAAAAAGACGAGAAACGCGAAATGAAATGAATTGTATTTTTTATCTGTGTTTGGGATCAAGTCTTTTGAGAACTAAATGACAGATTATAAATCGGCGTTCAGAAATCATCAAAATTGTAATCAAAATCTAAAAATTGTAAGATTTTTTCGTTATTTTATTTGAGCAAGGTGATATCTTTTTTTTATAAAAAATATATATATATTGAAAACAATCATTATTTTTTTTACTATTTGACGAATAAAATCACACTCGCCCAAATTAAACATCACTTTGAAAATTCCACTGCTTACGTACGAACAGTGTGTAAGAAAGGGAATAACTGGAAAGGGTAACTACTTTTATATTTGGCTAGATAGCATTTGAATGTTTTGATCAAAATGAGTGAATATCTTTTGGTGATTAGAAGATTAAAAACGAACGAATGGAAATGGTTGACGAAGGAAATTGAAGGAAATCCTTGGACTGCTGCGCTTTTCATTGTAATTTTGTGTAAATAAAATTTAGGATATTTGTTTTGTAATAAGTACTTAAATGTTATCAGTGGACTATTTTTGTTGCTATAATGTCAAATAGTTCGATTGAGGGGAAGCTGAAAGGTTTACAAGAACGTTTCGAAAATGAAATGCGTATTCGAAGAGAAGGTGGTTTCAACAACCAAGGTGGAATTGGAACTCCTAGGCCGGGGGGCGGCAGGACCAGGCCGAAGCCCCGTGAGTATCTTGGTGATAATGTTCAGTGTATATGTGCATTTGTAGTCATATGACATCTATCATTTTTCATGCTCATTACATTTTTATCTTTGCGTTTATTACATATTTTTGAAGCTGTGCTGCTATTTTTCGTTGTTAATTTGCTATTCCAGTGCTTTTAGCAAAGGGTACAGTGATAATTTGTGGACTGTATCAATTAGAAGTATAAATTTCAGTGTAGATTAGACAGCAGAAAGTGGGCCTCTGTTATCAACATGGATAAAGGTTATGCTGTGTTCAGTGACAAATTAATGTGTTATAATGCATGCAGACAGCTTCCCTGCCGCCTGGGCTGCACATTGTGTACAAATTATTTGCATAAATTGGCATTGACTGTGAGGTGGGTGGTCATTTCTGAGACATGCACCCATTCATTGTTTTTTTGTTTTTGTTTTAGCATGTACATTTTGATATTGTGATTATGTATCTTGGCACCAGCGTTTATTGCAAGCTCCATGTTACAATGCATGTATTTTATTTAAGTAACAAATGATAGATACAAGACTAGCTGCTGTAATTTATCAATAAGTGTTGCTTTAGTTAGTGACCTAATTGAATGTTTTGTAATTCAGTGTCAAATAACTAATTTATACAAGAATAGTTTTTCTTTTATAGATGTTAAACTATAATTTTAGTAATATCATTCAGAAAGAAAGAAAGGTAGATGAATAGTAAATAGAGAACCTAACATCACAATTTGTTCATGAAAAAGTCAATCAGGTTTATTTCATCAAAGTCATAGACAATGTGCTAGTCAGAATAATTTTCATGAAAATTTATTGGTTTTAATGAGGTATATCTATCAGTACTATAATTTAAGCCTTCCTGTCATAAAATGTTTTATGTAAAGTTATGATTAGTCCGTCGTAACCATGTTATGTCATAGATGTACAACTGATAATGAAAGATAATCCATTGATATAATAAAACAATTCAATGTTACCTCACTCTTTGATTGTAATGTGTTTAAAATTGTTTCTTATTAGGCTCTTGTACATGAATTGGTCTTATTTTGCATTTCATACTTTTGAAACAGTTACATTTAAATATAAATCTTGATTCAAAATGTTAAGATGTAATCTTTAATTAATACTGATCAAAAAAGGATATGTTAACATAACATCATCACACCTTTTATCCCTGAAGGGGTAGGCAGAGGTGCACATTACAGCACTTAAGGCCACTGTACAATGTAACACCCACTTTCCACTATTTATGTTATGAGTCCCATGTAATAGTGAGTGAGCCTATTGTCATATACCGGAAACATTTCCAGACTCCGTGCTACTACTGAGGTTTTTACAAACCCAGTAATACTTTGCCCGCCCCAGGAAGCGAACCCGAGACCCCTTGCCCAGCAGTTGCATTTGCGATCCCTCGGCCAATGAGTCGGGCAAAGGATATGTTACTAAATTATAATTCAGCTATTATGAAGGTTTTTTTGTTATGCATTATTTATGTATTATTAGTTTCATGCTCTTAGTCAATAAGTCCTACAACTACTGAATACATGAGCTTCAATTAATTTCTCATTTAATTGTGTCTAGAAATAATAATGCCACATTTCACACGTTGCTGAAAATGATTTGTTGATGCAATCTTTGCCAAACTAACACATATATTACTTTCACTCTTCAATTCTTTATGTGCTAATTGTATGCGCCAGAAGTATTTCTAATTTAAGTCTAATTTGCAAGAGGTTTGGGAGATGGAAGCATACTACATTGATATTTTGGAGAAAATAAGCGTAGGTCTGCCTCGTTGGCCGGGTGGTTGCATGCGTGACTGCCAGGCAAGGGGTCTCTGGTTCGGTTTCCAGGTCAGGCAAAATATTACTGTTTTTTTTTTTTAAAATTGTTAGTAGTAGCACAGAGTCTGGAATTGTGTCTGGTATATGGTAATAGGCTCACTCACCCCTTATTACATGGGACTCATAACATAAAAGTATAAAATTGAGTGTTACATTGTACAGTGGCAAGTGCTATAATGTGCACCTCTGCCTAACCTTTCGGGGTTAAAAGGCGTGATGTTATGTTAGGTGTCTGATTATGGCCTGAGTAGCAGCAAGCATACGAAATTGCAATAAAATTCATCCATTCATAATCTTATTGGTATTAACTCGCACTGTATGAAGTTTAATTTATTACACTGTTAGTGAGTGTCTCAGTTACGATCAACCTCAACTTATTACTATTTGGCAATATGATTACAAATGATAGATATCCAGCTGTCTTAGGGCAGAATTGATTATAATTAAAATAAAATTATTATCTAACTTGTTTTTATAATAACTATCGTGAGACATACTAAATTAAGTAAAAACGCGGGTTACTCACGTGAATATACTGAGAAAAGCTCTACTAGTTTCGAACCACAGAGGGGTTCTTCCTCATGAGCAGCGTGCGCGGTCGCGGCGACGTCGCGCAGCTCACGAGGTGAGCTGCGCGACGTCGCCGTCGACCTCTGTGGTTCGAAACTAGTAGAGCTTTTCTCAGTATATTCACGTGAGTAACCCGCGTTTTTACTTAATTTATTATCTAACTTATTGATCGTGGATAAAAATGTGGACCAACCATATCAATGGGCAGTGTTGGTCTCTTACCATTATGTAGCAGCTCATTTACACCCAATCCTGTAAGCAACTTCTGTTCTAATTTAATATGTATTCGTTCCAGCATCTATGTTTCCCACCAGAAACATAACAGATTTCCCGCCGAGGTCACCACAAGCTTCTGAGACTGAATACAGAATGAGAGAGGTTTATAAGGTAATTTGTATAGCTTACTATCTACAAGTGTGTTTTGGGACTATCTACTTTATTACTGTTAGCAAAGATTACACTTTCCGTTTCTGGTTAGACAGTACACACTTTAGGGACACAGTATTTGTCTGTTAATTAATTTTAAACCTTATTAATTACAAAACAGAAATGTTTTTAACAATGGGGGCTATTAACTCTGTTATAATGATCAGAAGACATGAAGTGTTCATTAGCGGAAACCAGACCTACCTTTCATTATACCTTTGTTAACAATATAATAATTTTGCTACAGGTTAGTGGCAAGCTGAATGTAGATGGCGTGGAGTACAGATCACACGTGGATGACCTGCAGCAGCTGGGCGAGCTCGGCAGTGGCACCTGCGGCCATGTTGTCAAGATGCTTCACAAACCTTCCAGCACTGTCATAGCTGTTAAGGTCCGTATTCCTTTGTCTCTTCTTTAAAAAATAACTTAATGTATTTGAATGTATGCAATATTTACATTTTTTGTTAAATTTAAAAGTAAAAACAAGGCATGGTGGCGTGGTGGTCAAACTTTATCGTAGTGTTCGTCATCTCGTATATCCCAAGTTATTTTACAGCAGAATAAACACTAACTTATCTACAACATTATTATGGTTGTAAAAACCTAAAAGTCTACATACCTACATCAGTAATAACATAACTCTTTTAACCTCTACCCTTTGGAATTATGTGTATTTGTATACAGACAAATCCTATCCTACTAATATTTATAAATGCGCAAAGTTTGTCACATATATATTTGTTACTCTTTCACGAAGAAACTACTAAACGGGTTTGGGTTAATTGTGGCACAAAGATAGATTATTGGCTGGGATAACACATGGAGTTTTTTTTATCCCGGTAATGCGGGCGAAGACGCGGGCTGAAGCTAATAAGTTACACATTGTCAATATTTCTTCTACAGCAAATGCGTCGCTCCGGTAACTCAGAAGAAACAAAACGTATTCTAATGGACCTGGACGTGGTGGTCCGTTCCCACGACTGTCCCTATATCGTGAGGTGTTTGGGCTGCTTCGTGACAGACGCTGATGTCTGGATCTGCATGGAGCTGATGGCTTCCTGCTTCGATAAGCTGCTGAAGAGGCTCGGAGCACCCATACCTGAGGCTATTCTGGGGAAGGTCACTGTAGCGGTGAGTGTGACTTGATAAATAAATAAATTTCATTTTTTTATGGATTATGCCGTAAACGAGCCGACGGATCACCTGATGGTAAGCAATCGGCGTCGCCCATGGGTGGACACCTGGATTGGAACACCAGAAGCGTCACAAGTGCGTTATCGGTCTTTTGGGGATTAGGAGTTTGAGGATTGTTGGGGATTCGGGGATTGGGAAGATTGGGGAAGTGGGGAGGGAGCTGGGCCTCCGGTAACCTAACTCATACGACGAAACACAATGCAAGCGTTGCTTCACGTCGGTTTTCTGTGAGGCCGTGGTATTACTCCGGTCGAGCCGGCCCATTCGTGCCGAAGCATGGCTCTCCACACTTTTAAAAATGTACTGTTAGTCTTGGGACAATGTTTTTGTTGTAGTATAAATTAATTATAGTACTTTATTTATTAATGTAATGAAAATTTGTGTCAGAAATGAAATGTATGTTTTGTAAAAAACCCTTTCCAATAATAGATGTAAATATAGAGATGGTAACTAAAAACCCTCTGATAATGATCATGAGTTTCCGATTTCTTACCTATAACTATCTGTTATCTATGTTCATGTTATGTCTCAAAACTTATTATAAATTAATGTTAATAATTCTCCAGACGGTGAACGCGCTATCGTACCTGAAGGACACGCACGGCGTGATCCACCGCGACGTGAAGCCGAGCAACATCTTACTGGACGAGCGCGGCAACGTCAAGCTCTGTGACTTCGGCATCAGTGGCCGCCTCGTCGACTCCAAGGCCAAGACTAGGAGCGCGGGCTGTGCTGCCTACATGGCTGTAAGTATATTAATATGAATATGACCTTTATTTACGTATTCTTAAAGTCTACATAAGAGTGCCTTGCCATAAACTACGTTTGGTAGGCAGGTTGCAGATCACAGTAGGAACAAGTTGATTAGAGCGTGCTGGTACCCTGTTTTTTTAAATGTATAGTATCTTAGTCATTCGCAACTCTCCGTCCATTCTCTTGTTATCACACCTTATGCCTATAGACAAATGAGATAAAATGTAAAATATTCCCTCAGCCGGAGCGAATAGACCCACCAGACCCGACGCGGCCGGACTACGACATCCGCGCGGACGTGTGGTCGCTCGGCATCTCACTCGTCGAGCTCGCCACCGGAGTCTTCCCATACAGAGACTGCCAGAACGACTTTGAAGTGCTCACTAGGGTGAGTGATAGTGATAATATACTTTATTATGACAAAGTTAATGTGCATTTTACTGTGTAAGTCACTCTGTCAAGAGATTTCCAACCTTATTGTGTAGCAATAAAGTTGACGTTTATATGAAAAATGTATGCAATAATTTGTTTGTTACACAGGTAATAGCGGACGATCCCCCACAGCTACCAGACACGGATGACTTCACACCAGAGTTCAAATTATTTGTGTCCCAGTGGTAAGTCCATATTACATTTCTTTGCTTTGTCTTTGTAGATATTGACACCTTTTTTCTATTGTTCGAGGAGGAAGTTAGACAATTCTACATATTTTTAGTGCGTAATTAATATCAACTTCAGTAGTTTATATGTATCATGGTCCACTAGAAACAATGAATTCTTCAAAATCATAATATAATGTTACCAAAATTACCTATCCTTACTTTCCAGCTTAACAAAGAACTACAGACAGCGTCCCAAATACGCGAAGCTTCTAGAACACCCATTCGTAGTGAAATCCGCGCGGAGTTCCATATCAGTGGGGGCATGGTACGCCTCCCTCTCCATATCAGGGCAGGGGGGCGGGGCTAAAGGTGCGGGGTCGCCACAGGCCCCGCCCACGCCGACCAATGGGGTGGAGACGCCCGTCACTCCGCAACCAGTTAGGAACTTCGTGACTAGCTCGCAACATTGGATGGAGCAGGTTACTCCAACGCCTGCGAGGTAAGTACGAAAACAAGAATTTAATTAACCCTCGTTTTTATTATTCAGGCATCCTGTAATATTCGTTTAACATATAAATCAAATGAATTAAAATTTCTAAATTATATTGATTGTAATTTATTTTTATATTTGGTGGACCGACGTTTGACCAATATCTCGCCGGGTGGTAATTATACGGCCACTCAGTTTATTTCGACTGACGCACTGTTTTCAGCTCTTTTTATCGAGCGATTTGTAACTAATGTATTGAAGTTATTCCAAAAAGCATCGTGCTAACTGAATTTCAACTTTATTACACAAGTTATAAGATTCATTGTATTTATTTCCAGAGCGTGGTGGGCGACAAGTGGCAACGCGAACGCGGGCGGCAGCAGTTCGCAGCCGACCAGCTTAGAGACTGACATGTCTAACCACTCACCATATCCTAGGAGAAGGTATATTTTAAAATCATTACAAGCTTTCTTAATTTAATGACTAATTTTGATACAGTTTTCGTTGTTATTTATCTATTTAATTTTTCGCAGAACAATAGACGCGTGCGCATCCCCCCCTCCCCCACCAGTGCGCAGGGTATCAGCTGATAACCGCTGGCGTGCGTCCCCCGCGGTAAGTCGTACATTATTACTACATAATACTTCACTACTTAAATAAATAAAATGACTGACTAACAAACTAGAGGCCTTAGTACGAGTTTCTTTTTCGTTTAAACTAATCAAAAACAGACGGCGTTCTGTGTTCTGATTGGTTGGTTCATTGGAGCCGGCCAATCGCAGCGCCGAACGCGTACTCGTTACGATTACTTTAAACGAAAAAGAAACTCGTACTAAGATTCCAGAGGAAGGAATGAAGTGATAAGTTAAAGATGAAAATATATTATTACCAAAAAGACACATGAGCCATGTCGAAAGGGTGGACGAAAACAGGACTTTATGAAAGAATAAAGGCTATGTCAATGCTAACAGTAGTACGAGTCGTTACAACAATTCTTCTAAAATCTAGAAGATATGTTTATATTGCCCTTAGCGTTAAATTGCAGAGCTACTGGAAACATTTAGACACGAAGTACTCTTAATAGATTTGTTTTCTAAATTCTATTTTAATGTTCGGCTGGTAGATTAATATAAAAAATTAGACACGTATTTTTTCTTTTCTCACATATGAAATACTTTCGACGGTATATTAATTTTGAAATATCGTGTGACTTCAATACATTTTGTAGCACGTTGTTATGTACCGACCTCCCTCTACTTAACGCCATTTTATCCAAGTATTGTAACTTTGTACGAGAAAAAAAAATACGTGTCATTTTTTTCACTATCTAACTGACGGACTAATTAGATTTTTAATATAGAGTATAAGTAGATGTATGAATATTATGATGGAACCATTAACGTCTGTGAGAATGCATTTCTATGTAAATACGAGAATAATAATAGGTGAGACGTAAATCCAGGCAAACAAAGACGGTGTCTATCGCCGTCCGGTGCTGGACTTAAGCTTCAAAGTGGTGTCTCAGCCGAGGGTGTCTGCGTATCTGCTGAGCCCCACTATCCTCGTTAGGTCTCCCGATCAGGAATTGGAGCTGCTATATGTATGTCCGGTATATGTACCTGTTACGTCGTCGCAACGATGAAAAATACTTATTTTGTAGATTACTTTTTCAAAAGAAAAAATTGTAAAAAGTAATTTTCGTTTCATTTAAATGTATCGTAGATATTATAATTTTTAATCATATTTATGCAACGTCATCTGTAACTACTCGTGCAGCTACTGATTATGAGTCCCGAATCAGTCCGAAACTAGTCGGTCATAATCGAATAGTATATCTATGTAAAAAAAGGTAAATGAAAACTAAACTGTAAAGCTTAGTTATCTTTTGGAAATTAGTAAATCTATTTTAAAACATTTAAAAATTTGAGTTGCGGCGTCGTAGTAGGTAGCACCGTGTGGTTGACCTAGTGAATGAATTGTAGAAAGAATTCATCGCAGTTAACTAATCACTCCACTAGATACTGTTACAAACAATATTATTAGAATAGGAACATTTTCTATCTACCTCTCAATAGAAAATACATTTCAAAGTCAACTTAGTTACCACAAGCATATAGTTCAAACTTGAATGAATTTATTTAGTTCCAATTGCAAATCAAACTTTCAAACTCTTTCTCTTCTTGTCATTGTAAAATCAACTTATTGTTATGACTATACAGTTGATGTTGGCACACCAGTCACTTATGAATGAATATCATTGCGAATGAAATTGTTGTATAACCCTTTTCAGCCATCTTTCTGTCATGGTAATTTGGATTTAGTGTTTATTGTTATAAAGGTGGTATTTGCATGCATCGTTAGGATGATGTATCTAATTTTGTAATTTGTATTTGAACAGAGTTCGGGTAACACTAGTCCTATAGTACTGCAGAGGTTCTACCATCAGAACCAGCAGAGGAGGTCCAGGGTCGACCTGCATTCTACCCCTAGGCATAGAAGGTAAGTTACTTTTAAACGCTAACAAGTCTATTGAGCAGTTACTGAAACCTGTGAGCGTCTGTAACACCAGATATTATGCCATTGACGCGTAGCTTTGACTCTAAATTATGATTTTTTTTCATTGATCCAGTAACAATAAGTCAAGATAGATTTCTTTTTTATTTGATATTTATTTATTTATTTATTTATTGAATGGTGAATCAACAGCTACATTACATAGATTTAGCAGAAAAATAGTAACATTGAGCCACTTATAGATTCACACGAATACTGACTTAATAGGTAACAGCTAAGACAAAATTAAAATTATAAATACATTAAAATCAGGCACACAGCAAGAAAATTATTAAAATAAAGAAAAAAAAAATGAATACATATTTAAAAAATAAAATAAAATAAATAAAAAATCAGCCATTAAAAAAATCTCCACTTATCATCGTTCTAGCTTTCCTAAGGTTTGTACAAAAGATATCTATATCATGCTTGCTACTGATGTCGTTAAAAGTACGACAGGCTCGACACAAGAATGAGTTTTGCCTGTAGTTACTATTTGCTACCGGAGCACAAAGAGGTGCGTGCTTCCTAAAGGATTTCGACGGAACATTGAGGGACAACTTTTCAAGGAGTTCAGGGCAGTCAACTCTACCATTCGCTATGGATAGGATGTAAGTAACATCAGCTATCTCGCGACGTTTATAAAGTGGAAGAAAGTGAAATTGTTTACAGAGTTTAATATAGTTATCATACCCAGGTTTATTAGGAATTGCCAAACGAAAGCACAAGAATTTAATGAACTTCCTTTGAATCCTTTCAATTCTTGCAATATATTTATCATATCGGGGATTCCATATTTGCGATCCGTATTCAAGTATGCTTCGCACATATGCACAGTATAGAATTTTGAATGTTTTTGCATTCTTAAATGGGGCTGTCGATCTCATAATAAAACCCAAAGACCTCGATGCTTTTGCAATTATTTTCTCAATATGCTCGACTGCTCGTCGAATAGGAGTTTCGAATCGTGTACAACACCTAGATCATGAACCGAATAGAGTCTACCAAGCAGATGGCCCTTGAGGTAATATTGGGTGGATACATTGTTTTTCTTTCGACTAAAGGTTACCACAGAGCATTTTACCGGATTAAGATCTAATTTGTTTTGTAAACAATACCCATCCAGTCTAGCGTTAGCATCCGCCGCTGACCTGATCGTTGTGTAAATTTTCATGTCATCAGCAAAGCAAATAACTTTGCTATAATAGATATATGGTAATATAAATGTAAATTGTTTCAGTTTAAGTAGAGAACATAGTACAGGTCGGTCGCCCGAGCCCCCGCCGCGGACCAGTCGGCAACACCAAATGTTAGGGCATGAAGGTAACTAGCAAAAGAAAAATGTCTCTTTTTTTATTTAACTCGTTTGATTTGAGGCACTGTGAACGTATTTTCGTGTATTAATTGCTGTTTGTTTCGTTTCAGCAAACGGTAGCACTACGGAACTGGAGCCCCCCGCGCTACACGAGCGATTGCACCCACCGTCGCCCTTACTACTCAATGATAGGTGAGTCGATATTTGCAAGTGAATGGCCTTCGAAAAGCGAGATTCAGACTAGGTTTGCCGAGTCCAATAAGTTAATTAAACCAATAATATCTTAAATCTTAATTAGGGTCCAAGTCCCCCCTCCTCAATATCTCTCAATCCTTATATTCGTAATCTCCGCCCATGGACAGCTTGAACACCAGAGGCGTTACAAGTGCGTTACCGGCCTTTTGGGATTAGGAATTTGAGGATTGTTGGGGATTCAGGGATTGGGGAAAGGGATGAGGGGGGGGGGGGATTGGGCATCGGGTAACCTCTGCCTGCTCGTTTACCGGCTTATTACATATAAAAATCACTTCCAGACATCTATCTATTGTCTATGATGAACACTATAACCTTAAAGACATATTTAGGGCCGATGTTTCAATCATCAGTTAATTCTTCACTATAGAATAAATTTGACAGTTGCGAGTTTTTATTATGGAAGAATTGTCAAATATTCAAAGTTATTTCTCAGGTAACAATTAACTGATGATTGAAAAATCGGCGCTTAATGGTTAAATACTAAATTCCAGGCTATCAGAAGGCCGCAGTCAGAGCCTGACTCGCGCGGAGCTCCGCAACGGGTACCGCGGGGAGCCACAGCCCGCCGCCACGCATAAACACCATCACGACGACCAGGGTGAGTTACTTACTACCAGCTCCAGGGAACTATAGCGTGACGATATAGGGAATTTAAGTACTAGGGGACTAAAACCTTGCTGCAGAAAAATGCCCGAATACTAAAGGCTACTCAGTTTTTAGTTGGACTTAAATATAGTGCCGTCTCTGTCATTTTACAAAGAATTTGTAGAGACAGAACTATACATGAGCGCGACTTAAAATTGAGTAGGGTTTTAGAATTCGGGTGTTAGTTGCAGAATTGTAAAAGTTTATTTTTGTATGCAGTTGTTTAAAAAACTTAATTTGGTCTGAGTCTATACAGAATCAAGTCTACCAACGGTAGATACAAGTTGAGCTTGAATTTGATGATAAATTGTAATAATAATATTATGAGATTTATTCAAATGTTTTTTTTATTCACATGGTTGAAGTGGGTAGGAACAGAATTGTAAAATCAAGGTTATAATTTATTATTACAGTACTGTGACATGCGATATTTTACACAATACAAATAAGAGTGGACTATGAATTAATTAAATATATACTATTATTTGATTTTTCAAGATATGAGTGATGATACACGGAAAAATACACCGTATTACAGACGATGATTAAGGTAACTTATCGTGTGTCAAATCGAATCTTCTGATGTGTTGTAGTATAATATGCGAGCGATTGAAATTCAATATATAATTTATCGATATACTTAGAAAGCATATGACAGATTATCTTAACAGAAACTTGTTTTTAGTATCATATTAAAAAATTAAAATGCCGTTAAACTATGAACTCACGAGAATGCTACAAAACAAAAATACTGTTTAAAGAGATTTTGACTAGTACGGCACTTAGTTTATATAAGAGTCGCTCGCACAGTATACACATGCGTAATATTGACTGTGACAATGTTGTGACGAAGGAGCGCAGCCAGCCTGCGACACACAGCGCCGCCCCCGCGTGTACAGGCGCGGGGACTTATTGCAATACTGACCATATTACTTTCTTTTATGAAATATAAATACTTTTCTGATAAAGCGGTTATCATTTGCTTTATTACATTGCCTTTGGTTGAACTATAAGCTTTTGAAAAATTCATTGGCGACCAAAATAATGCCAGAGTCGTGTCATTTGACGTTGCATTATTTCTGTCTCTAAAGACATAAAGAGAGACGGTTGTTAAGACAACTTTGTATGTAGAGAAAAAGTAAGAAATCCCTTAACGATATTGCTATTGCAAGTTGATAACTGCACTAAATAGACTTGTTAACGTTCAATACCGAATTGCTTTTTGTTGCCACATACATGTCATAAATGATACAATTCATGACAAAGAAAAGATGTTGACACTATTATTATTATTAACCATCATAAAGAAAGTTGGTCGACGTCGTTACATTGCAATGACTCCACAAATCATCTCATTCTCATACAGACTGTTTCTACCCTTCCATTGTGTAAATATCGCGGAGGAAAACCATGAACTTATGGGAAATATGCTTATGGCGCGTCCTCTGTGCTTTGCGGTTATATGCTTTCGCACAACCGAACGAAACGGCCAAGGAGGCTTAGTTGCCGAAAGAAACCTTTTTGGATATCACTTATCGAGGTTTTTTAAATAGAATCACTACAAAATTTTATTAAATATATCTATTTTGAATTTCAATAAACATAACTAGCATAAATTAGGTGAATTATACGAAGACCTCTACTTACTTCCACTAAGAATTATATATCTAGTGTTTTGTTTGATAAATTTGTATTAAATATTTGGTTTTCTATTTAAAAAGCTCGATATATCAAAATTTCTGTGTCAATTCTTATGTGCTAAATAAATGTTTACATGAGTACAGACTCGATGTTTTAGAGTCAAGTTTAGACGCATATTACTATCTAATTTATTACCTAACCCACTCATTGTATGTTTTGGCAAACTTGACATACACTCAATTAATTAATAATAAGAATTAAATTCATAGAAATTGTGGACAAATTGGTTAAAAGGGTCCATTTTGCTAAACGATCTTTCTTTAGAATCTGTCTTGGTATTTGAGTACATGTCAAGTTTGCAGCTTTTCAAAATTGTTTGTTTCCCAAATGTATCTTACCAAAATGTTGTTGTATGTCATATGTTATAACACATTTATGGAACTTTTCTTGTGACTGTACAACTTAGTACAAATCAAGTTATATTACATTATTGAAATGTTAAATGTAAGTTGTACATTCAAAGTTTTACCATGGTTTAATACGATTCAGTTAAGTGCTTATACTGGTATCTATGATGCGTTCACGACAACACAGCACGGTGCACTTGGCCACATATTATATTTTCAATTCTCAACAACTACAAATAAAAAAAAACATTTATAAAGTAAAGTAATAATAGATATAAAAAATAGTATCTTGTTTTTATTAGTGGTTTTAAATTGAAGCAATGATACAAGCAGTTTAATTGCCAAATATAATTATTATTACATGGTAACACTTTTAGAAAAGTCCCCACGAATGTGTCTGTGCTTTGCCGCTGTCCTTCGCGCCCCACACATCGCCTGCCCATTAGTAGCTCTGTCACATGCCTCGCTACACTAAACACGACCCTAACACCTAGCTAAAATGGGCTATATTTGTACACTGCCACCGGCGCCGGTACGTATCGCTTTGGGAAGCGTTGCTGAAATATTTTATGCAATTTTTTTTGAAGATTTTGGAAGTGGATGGTTTACAGGAATTCACTGGATGCTTAGTAGAAACATAATACAATGAATAATTGTACTTACAGAGCAAGTTCATTAAAAAGTCTAGACCTCATTATACTTGCCATGTATACTAGCTATTCATCATGCCTGATATAACTTCAGACATTCTAATAGTAATTTGATCTCAAGAATACCGACTTCGTTTGTTTTAAAATACTCTAAAACTTAAAGCAAATTGTTCAATTCTCATCTAAAACTGCTCAGGGCTAACACGTAAACTATCCACTTATAAGTAAATAAGGAAGCTTGTATTGGCGAGGTGTGAGCGAGACTCTGTTCTGATCACTCATTCATCATGGTAGCTTCGCTGTCAGTAACATTAGCAGGCATATCGTAACGACTCTTTGGTTCAACACCTCCGTTGAAGATGTTGGCAACATTTTATTTGCCACAGATAAATTATTGAAACCAGACCTTTGCAGGATGGAATCCAATTACATTGCTCAAGACATTTTTTGTATCATCTAAAACAATAATAATTTTATAATTATTAACTTTCCTAATCCCGGAAGAAAGTATATATCTATGACGTCTAGATTTTATGTAATCTGTTAATAAAACCTTTTTTGAGGTCTATAAAATCTTAGAGTAGTATATTTACAAACAAACTCTTCTAAAATTATTTCTATAGGCAAATACGGCGTAGTTCTTTTTGATGCCTATAACTGTGGTTTCACCTGCAAAGAAATTAAACTTAGCTTAAATATTAGAATTTTGCCAACATCTAAAATGGAGTAGATTCACAAAGAAAGCACATAACACTATCAGTGCCATATGAAGCTTCGAGCGTACAAAGAGTCGGTACATACAATATGGAGCGGGCAGAGCGTCGTAGTGGTGTCGTTGTCGGTCGCGGTAGCACCAGTAGCCCGGTGGTCGGTCGCAGGCTGGCTGCACTCGCTCGCGGGGCTGGTGAAGCGCCGGCTCAGCGGGTACGTCAAGTGGCATCACCTTGCAGCGCGCAGAGACAACCACCATCCACATCATCTGCAGCACAGGTGAGCAACTTCTTGCTTATTTCTACTTATAAGGCTTGTAGCTATATTATTGATTTCAAGGTTTTTATTGCCTTTAAACTGTCAAACACCAAGCGGTCACCGGTGACCGCAACCTATTGTTCTATAATTGTGTCTACAAAACCGGTACTCGACGAGTTAATTAATCTGTGTAAAAAATGAAGATGTTGTGTTATATTTATTGTATGGATTTGCCACACATAATAATACATTGTTACCAGAAATTCTCAAGATTAATTTGAACCTTAAGTTTTCTCAAATTCTTATTTGTACCTTACGATACAACACATTCCATATTTATTATTTTCTACAATAACAGATGGGGTAACAGCGAAAGTTGGAGTATGCCTGCGTCCCCCCTGCCTGCAGACTAGCCCCCCGCCCGCGCCCCGCGCTGCGGCATCCTGCACTTACAGCGCTGCCTGCATCGTTACATCGCTCAGTTGCGTTTGAAAAAGCGAAACTATAAGAGCTAAGGAAGCTATCAACACAAGAAGATGAAGCTCACAAGCTCTGATTACGTATGCCAATTAAGTTTGAACTCTATTGCTTACAGGGTAAGAGATACATTTATAAACACAGCAAGTATTTGTTTTGCATTTAACTCGTTGAGTACCGTCATTATAGACACAATTAAAGAACAATAGGTTGCGGTCACCGGTGTCCTCACGGTGTTTGACAGTTTAATGTGGTCTGTCTTTTAGCAATAGAGTTCAAAATTGATTAAGTTTATGATAGGGGTTTGTTATTAAGTTCTGTTGATAAATGCAGTGAAATAAGTAAGTGACTGATGCCCTAATGTTCCCGCAACCAATGTTGTTCAACGTTCTACACTGTATAACTATCGATAGTGAATATATAGAAGGAAGGCACGACGGCTTTGTATTTTATTACTGCTTAAGGTACGGTTTCATTGCACGCGACTGAAATAGTCGACTTCAATTGTGTCTTTCTACAATCCGATTTGTACACATCGTAGTCGGATGTTAATAGAAACACATCGTAGTAAATGTGACTTAATTTCGAAGCTTTCTTTATTATTGTAGTCCATAACGACTACAGCTTCATTGCAGTAGCGTCAACCTACAAACCAAATGTATTCAAAGTGCCTGATTTAAGACTGAGAACAATAAAAATAGTCCATTGATAACCGCGAGTTTAATAAAACAAACTACCTCTATGTATGTGATCTTCGGACTTTGTAACAGTCTTTTAATGAGCAATAAATCAAAAAAGTCTTATCCCAGTCGCGTGAATGAAACTCCACCTTTATTATAAATAGTCAAATGGCCGCGCAGTATGTAAGCGGCGGTGTTCGGCTTAACGCGTGATAATAGACGTAGCATGTTCATAGTACACGTTCAAATAAATATTTTGGAACAAAAACACGTTTAGTAGATTAATGGGACATTTAGTACGGAGTTGTGACGTCATAGTGATATATTTTGGGATATACTACTTAATGCTGTGGTTGCAAGTGATCTGGCTATGGTGGTTCGATTGGATGTTCAGAAATGTCAATATCAAGCTGGTTCTTTGCAATACAATGTTGAACTATAGAGTAGTTTAATCGTACAACGTTTTATTAAATTGTGATATTAATTTTCAACCTAATAGGTACATACTTGAGGTTTATTTTACATGTTCCATGAGGTTACGTCACCATAGTCAGAGGAAAGATTGTCACAGTATATCTATTTACAGTCTCCAACAAATTATTCAAAGACAAGAGCATGTCTATGAGAATTATAAAACAGAACTTTCTCTTAAATATTTTCGGATGTGAAGTTAAATGTGTGACTGGCTGCGAAACATTTGTAACCACAGATTATTCTAAGTGTGTTTAAATTAAAATAACGTTGACGGGCTATGCTGGTTACTTTATTGGTGCAAATTATACCAACCCGTTTCAGAGATAAACTAAAAAAAAAATAAGTGTTTTTGCTAGCATTGGTTAAAGTACAACTGTTAAACGTAAGGGCCTTGCTTAATGCTGAATCGTTATTTCGGACAAGTTATATTAAGCGCTGGTTTCACCACCTCTATATAAGTACTTGATAAACTTATATGACAGATAGTTCATACAAATTACGTTCTTAATTCAAATTTACCTGGTAGATAACGGCTATCCAGATATTGTGAAACAGATCCTAAATGTGGTTTATACCCCAAAAGAACCTAATCAATAATAAAAAGATAGACTACTTAATGTCTATCTAATGAATTATTATTATTTTGATTACTACGTCATAGTTTATATTGCCTATTGATTTATAACGTGCACCAATAAAGTAAATCCTGATAATTGTAACCGAATCCGTGCAATGTAGCTTTGACAATATGTATGACACTACGTATTGAATGGAATTGAGTTTGCTAGGCCCAGTACTGTTGTGCTTTGTTGCAAAACAATTTATATTAAACTGTCAAATAATTAATGAGTTAATTATTATTTTTTCGGCGTACTCACGTTGCTAGTTGACGAGGAATTGGACTATTTTCAAGTCATGCTAGAAACTCATATTCATGAGTAGCATTCAGCGACATGCGACGACATACTCGAGTCCGCCGTGTAGGCCCGAGGAAATAAATCTACATGCCTTATTGCACAAGCAAATATAAAAGTAATGTATGACATCGAGTATAATTGTGCATTGTTGTTATACATATTCGCGTTATTAATTCCTTAGTATCAACACGGGTCGCGGAGAACCTAACGGGTAACCGGGGGTCTGGCTCGACGTGCAGGAGAAGGAACGGGGTGGTCTTTAGTCAGTAAGTCTGACACTCCCTCCCGCCTCACCCAGGCGGGAGTGGTGATTCAATGATTTTCCCCCCTTAAAAAAAAAGTATCAACACGGAGTTTGGTTTTGTTATGTTCGATGTTTAAAACTAAATTACTACTTAATCGCAGTCTAGAACTTGTTACAAGCGCAATAGTACTCAGCCTAAATGAAAGCACCATATATTGGGGGGTTGTATTCCTATTCGACAATCAGATAGTAATAGATACTATTTCTATAATAAATGTAAATATCATGTATATTTTAACCTAAGAGACAGATAATGCAATTTTTAGCAAGTTATTTTATTTTGTATCATAAATAATTAGAATTTGCGAACGCTCTGGTTAGATATGGGTGATGAGAATTTAATAAATGTACTTTAGACTTTTTTTTTCGTAGATTCTGATGTAAGTACAAATATTGAAATGAATCTTCTTTTTAGTATTCTTATCTTATCTTATTTTTTTAACTCTTGTTTGAATGTCCGTCTGTATCTAACCAGTGCCGCAACCAAACGAATTAAGTTGTACTTTTGTTTTGTAACAAATAGATCGTCTTGTAGAGTTTACAGCTTATATTTTATTTTTATTATGTATAAATATAATTCTAGGTGTTAATTGTACATTTTGTTTTTTTTTTAATATTTTGACCAAATGTATAGAATAGATTAAAATCGGATATATTTTTTTTGTTCTCTTAGAATGTACGAGTGTTGTAACTCGACTATCTTGACTTTAGTCGAATAGTTGATTTATTTAGTCGATTCAGTCAACCGAGTTTGACGTATAGATTTTTTGAATGCTTAGTGTTGTCGGTTAGAGTCGGTTCAGTTGACTGGATCGATTCGTAAAACAATGTACTATAAGCAAACATAAAGTCTTGGATAGTTTTTGTTCAAATGTTTTTTACAATTTACCTTTGTTTTATATTAATATGGACTTTATTTACAGTGAATATGAGCCATAATCGTACATGTACTCGAGCATCAATTTGTCATGTAATACTTTAGGTACATATTTAAAGCAATCGCTTGGGATTACAGAAACTATCCGTTTAAATGCTATTTGAAGCAATATTTGTGATTAGCACCGCGTGTCCCACGCTGGGCGCCAACACTCGTGTGATCAGTGACAAGTCTTAACATAATGACTTTCACAAGTTTCTAACATATCCTTTCCTTCCTTTCTTTACCTATTTATTAGTTTCCAATTTCTTTTTCATAATCTATCTATCATCTGTATCCTGGTTTCTTTGTCTCTTATGTAAAAGGACTTGTCACTGAACAAGCGACACTGGCGCCCTCTAGTCCGCGCGCCACCTTACGTGCAACCGCGTTAGTTAAGGCGAGACTATATTTAAATAAATCTATTTAATAAACAACGATTAACTTGTTTTTTATTATATTATTGCAATAATTATTATTTTATTGTGTATTATATGGATCAAATTTTATTCTTGTTGTTTTATTACTCAATCAAACCTTCCATAGTTTAAAAAGTAGGTAAATTTTTCTTAGGGTCCACTTATCACACACAGTAACTAACAAAATTCATCAAAATAAGTTCAGCTGTTTAAAAGTTAAAACTGTGATAGTAACACATTTTTTACTTTAGTTAAAACTTAAGTTTAATATATTAAAGGGTGAGAAAAAAGAAACCACAGAGATTTTTATTTAAAAAATAATATATTTTGTACAATATTAGTGTGTAACGAAGTATTGCGTCGGAATCCAAAACGTTAGAATGTAGTATGGAATATATGCTTATTTACAGCACACTACAGCATTAGCAGAGTTTACGCGAAATATATTCAACTGCTGGTAAAGCAAAATAACATTGAATAAATTATTAAATCAACAAATACAAGATGTCCCAGACGTCGACTTCTAACTGAAACTCCGTGATCGGCAAAGTTACTAATGAGTTATGGCCCGTTTCATTTGAATATAGAACGTAATTTCTATGAACTATCTGCTACATAGGTTTATCATGACACCCATATTTTTTAACGTTTATAAGTTAACTTTCGCTTAGAATTTAGTTACTTATATTTTTCTGATAACTTATAATCGGGTATCGATTGGACGTCGACTTCTAGAACCCCCTGTACATAATTTATAAAACATTACAATTTCCCGTTTAAACGGAAGAATCGTTACATAATTTATTTGCATTGAATATAATGTATAGCTACGAACTATTTCTAAACCTATTACATCAACAATAAGGATGCATTTACCAGCAGCTAAACAATCTTTTAAAAATTGTTTCCATATATTAATTTATTATAGACATAGTATATATTATATAATAATTTAAAAAACAATCACATAAGTAACAAACACTTTCTTTGGTACAATCGTATAGGCGTCATGTAACACGAGCTAACAAACTGATAACTAAACCAATCATAGATCTTAGATCTATTTAAATGTCTAGATGAAGTGTACCATTATGCAGCACTTGACTACAATACTTTCAACACCATTATCCATCCCATGGGTGGTGTACGAATGAACTAAGAGATTATAATTATATTTGCTAGAAACCAGACCTTTAGGACGCGGTCACAAATTTTGCGGGTAGCGGGGCGGCGCGACGGGCACCGCTTGACTGGAGCGCACTGCTCGTTGCCCGCCGCTGTGTTTTCGAGAACCGGTTCATTTGAATTTACACAATACATAAGATCCTTCCGCCGCCGCCCCGCCCCGCTGCCTGCAAAATTCCAGGCAGCAGCCTTTGTAAGACGTACGTAAACGAGTACGCTTTGATTGGCCGGCACCCATGAACCAACCAATCAGAGCGTCGAACGCAGTCTCATTTCGATTACTTTACACGCATAACAAACTCGTATCAAGGCCGCACCAGTGTTCTCTGATCAATCTGGACCTTCTTCAATCCCTACGTTTGAGATAGCTGTTTAAAAAGGCACAATACGTATTCTTTTGGCCTACCAAACCGACCCTAAGACCATAACGGCAGGAAGTTTACCACATTTACTGTAAGTCTTTCTAGACATTTAAATAATCCAAGACACAAATAACTAAAGGAACAAAACAACACGATACATTTTGAAATGATAGCAGATTTTCAAAGAAAGAAATTGTTTGTCTTTTCGTTTCACTTAAAATGATAATGAGTTAAATAAGAAGAACACTATAATCTGCGATTATCCCAAAATTAATCTCAAATTATCTTAATTTGCTTAATTAATATGGCGCTTAGTACATTTTGCCAGACAAAAAGTACTCTTAAGTCTGAGATATAAAGGGCAATAATCAAACGTGCACACGGTACTGTCTAGGCCACATTGACAGAACACACAATTTTAGACTCTTAAGCTTTTCGGATAAAATTCAAAATTAAACAATGATAAAATCAATCGACATACACTGTACAGTTGTTAAAGACGTCACCAAAATAAAATTCACAATTAAAACGTGTACTATAAACTGTATTGCTATCCTGCATCTTACAACTAATTAGAAAGAGATACCATTAGGTACACAGGAAACTGCATTTGTCTTGCATTAGAAATAGGTTGGTAACGATTATACTTAATCGTTTTCTTTTTTCATTAATCCACTCGTGACGAAAGTAGGCACATCACTTTGGCTAGGACATAGATAAATAACTCAGATTGGCAATGGTAAAATACGAGGATGAATTTAGTTCACATCTCCAGTAACATTTGAAAATCTTATGTAGATAATAAGTATTATAGAAAAAATATGTCGCATTTATAATATTAGTAAGATAAGCGATAATGTTGCATAACTTTTGATCATTTGAACTTCAATATTAGTACGTATAAGGTCACCCAAAAAAAATGTAACCTTTGCCAGTCCCAATCATTGCCTACATCTAGCCCATACACAGACAATTACCGTAAGCGAAAAATCACTAAGTACAAATACAATGAGGAATAAAGCCTCAAGCCTACAACCTACACGTAAACCTAGCTACAGACTATAAATAAATAAAATCAACAACATAAAGCGAATATCGCATAATACGACAATGAAATTTTTATCAACAGCCTCTGTCATACCGTCCTCCTTTAACGTCTGACTAGTAACAAACTTAGGACGTCCGCAAGACCTAACCTTTTATCTCAAATAGTGCCCTAGTCACTCGGTAAGATCAATTTTATTATAATGACGAACATACATCCATTATAATCATTTTTGGTAACGCACCTCCAAATTACAAATTACTCTTTATTCAACAATCCTTTTAAAACGCGTAAGTTTATATTTTCAATAATTTATCTTAGGTAATTAACAGTTCAATAAAATGACAAAAACATATTTTTTTTAACATACCGATAAGTACGATCGCCATTGAGCATTATTATTCAAAAGCATTCTTTGACTAGTGACTAACTAGAGGAGTGTAATATATTTTTTTTATCTCTAGATATGTAGTTCTCTTATGAGATTTATTCAAAATTCCGTTTAGAAAATTATCTCCTTACTTATCATTAAGTATTTATAATAAAGTGCATTTTTTCTAATATGGCGCAGCAATATTTGGCGGGAAACTCTTTAAAACAGGCGGAACTCGATTCTATAAAAAAATAACTTTGTGCTTAAAACTCAGTTATTCGTTTTGCAAAGAGAATTGACTAAAGTCCGAAAGTTATTGAGATATTTAAAACAACTATACCTACGTGTATGTTATAATAATAATTTAACGTTAATAAAGTCCACCTTTTCTCCAAGGCACACCGCTATAGAACCGGTCTATTCTCAAGTCCTTTAATTTATAAATATCTAATTTAAGCTTAACTAATTTCCAAAACATTTTAATACAAGTGTACCTTCACGACCATAGTCCCTTTGGGAGTGAGCACGGCTCGAAGCGATGCGAACACTATTGGCCGGGAATTTTAGGTGTAAACGACCTTTTTAAAGCCCGCGATACTGCTGTTGTACAACAGATTAACGCTTTTGGAAGTTTTTATGTGCTGGAGTAACGTTTTATTTAGGTGTCCTCTCAATTCCCGCCAAATTGAGAAGCTAACGCTAGGTGTAACCCGCTAATGTCGGTGCGATGCTGGTCGTCCGCCTCCATCCAACGTCTCTACTTATTGCTGATGTCGCTCCAACTATTCTTATTCTGGAATTGAATCATTACTGTAGTGAACATGGCAGTTATTATACATAAAACTCATAACTTTCAACTTCATTACAAAACGATAAAATTTATAATGACAAAGAACAAGCATTGTAAGACTATTGAGGGAATTATCCTAGGTTTATTTGTATCCTGCTTCAATTAGTCTGTCAAAAAGAAATATGATCGTCTGCTGTAAGAATTACCATCAAAACTCATAACTTTCAACTTCATTACAAAACGATAAAATTTATAATGACAAAGAACAAGCATTGTAAGACTATTGAGGGAATTATCCTAGGTTTATTTGTATCCTGCTTCAATTAGTCTGTCAAAAAGAAATATGATCGTCTGCTGTAAGAATTACCATCTCTCTCCTCATATCCTTACCTAAGAACACTAGCTTAATGCGGCCGGCCTCCCTTCCCGGCCCGCTGCGGACTGCCGGGCACCGAGGACGAAGACAGCCCGAGCTCCAGCGCCAAGTTCTTATCCACCGGGCTCCGCTTCAAGTAGTCAGATATATGCTGCACTATCAGATCGATTGCCACTGAAAATTCAATCGTATCGCCACATGTTTTAATTTTTTATTTATTTGTACGTATATCAATTTTAAAATGAGAAGGTGAATGATATTTAATGGTTAAAATACATCGATATTAATATAGTAAAGTTAGAAGAAAGGGAAAAATATTTATAATTATGATATGATAAAAACCTTACAATGAATAAAATTATGAAGTGATTACAATTATTTCTAGCAGTTTCCTGAAATATTCTACATATTTATAATTACACCAAGCAAATTAAGAAATATGGATAGCGATAGCCTAAGACAAAGTATAAACTCGAACGCAAAGAAAATTATATACCAGGAGTAAACCCCGCGCAAGCTATAAAAAAAAAAGAAAACAAAATATACGAAGATAGAAAATAGAGTAAAAGTCTAAAAAATAGAAAGGTGTAAAACATATTACTACACTTAAATGAAACACGAATATAAGTTTGCAAACACTTTATTCCTTTAAAATATACATAAATGACGTCAATACATTGTTTAAAATGGAAATTATACAGAACAGGCAGTAAACATACAACAGATACATCGTTTGTGCTGATTACATAAGTACACAATATATGTTTCACATGATATAGTCAAAAGAAATTCTATTCCTAATAAGCAATTTTTTATTGTACTTTTGACTGACTCATGTGAAACGAGAGATAGTATAGGGGACATTTGCCTGTTCGCGTCCACATATTACTTTGTGTCCATTTTATTGATTTACATCAATGTAAGATATTGAAAACGTGTACCTAAGGTCAAACAGATGTGTTCTAACTACACTACTAATATTGTTTTTTATTTTTATTTTCGGAAATTTTTAAGAGGCGTAACTTATGGACTCGCACTGGTAAGTGTACGCGAACAGGCGAACTTCCCTATGGGAAAATCGCATTGATCCAGCGAAATATATAACTCAATGCTGCCAGAGTATATAAATGCTAAATAAAATGCTGATAGCTCTACATAATATACGCATTACAATCGTGTGCGAACAAGTATTTTGAAAGACATTTAAGAAAAGACAACTAACATTTTGGAAAATAGTATACATAGTTCGTTTTGGCAGTTTTCCTTTTAAGGCCTATATCTATTAAGAAGGTAATGTGCATTAGGACTTCTTTTTGGAATTTGAACAACTACATACCTACTATAGGAATAGTACCACTCTTTGGATTTGATATGAATCATAATTCTAACTTCATGGCTAACAAAACAAATATACACAAATATTGGATTGAAACATTACCTCAACCAAAACCACGACAAAACATGTTCAGTCAATAATAATAATCACAAATAATCGAATTGTCAAAACAATAACATTGCACTACGGCTCTAATTCTTCTAAGACAATTTTACTAAGTTCTACACGGACTTTTACGACTCTAGAACACATAGTAAAGACTCTAGAACACATATAAGTAAAATAAAAAAAAATACAACAATTTTGTTATTATTGCGTTATCTATTGTCAATGTTAACATCGACAAGTTCATTCGCCTCATTAGTCACACAATTAACCATTTATTTGATAATCCTTTTAAAATAAATGGTTAGTTCAGTAAAACATTATCATTTAGTCTTTATAAGTTAGATCGTGTATTAAGAACCATATTGCATAGACAAATAAGGTTTCAAATTAATTGTAATCTGCCATAAAAGTCCGTGTAATTAACTAACACGACAATATAACGAACAAATTTTACATTTCTTTACGTTTTATCACATTTCAATCAAATGGAATTGGCCACGCCCTCTGTTTCTGCGATACCATTACAGCAAATAATTGTCTATTCATACTATACGTTTATCTTATTAGTAACATAACATAACATCGCGCCTTTTTACCCGGAAGGGGTAGGCACAGGTGCACATTACGGCAATTAATGCCACTGTATAATGTAACACCCACTTTTCACTATTTATGTTAAGAGTCCCAAGTAATAGGGGTGAGCCTATTGCCATACTGGGCACAATTCCAGACTCCGTGCTACTACTGATATTTTTTTAAACCCAGTAATACTTTGCCTAACCCGGGAATCGAACCCGAGACCCTTTACAGGATCTGTATTCTAAATAGTAAACTAGTGGGAGTTATAAACTAAATAATATGATTGTCTAAGGAAAACGGCTTGAGCCTAGCTGACAGCGAATGCAAAATAAATCTAAACCTATTTTAAAAAAATAATATACACACAAGAAACAGAAGGCGTACTGATGACATTCTATAACCCCACTTCAGTGAAATTCAGTAATTTGATAGTATTCAGTACCTCGCTAACAAAATATTAAAATAACAAGTTACTTTTGGTCAGCGCTACACGTTTTTATATTCTTCCTATTATATACAGGGTGTAAACGGAACGCTCCTGAAACAGGCCGACAGGTGACGGTCAAGAACAAGGTTTATTTTCATAAAAGAAAGGTATTAAATGTTTATTTATGTAATAATAATAGGGTAGATGCCTAATTTTCATTTTAATGTCCGCCTGGTAGATTATTTTAAATCATTAGACACGTAGTTTCTATTTTCTTACATAAACGAATACTTTCGACGATGTATTGATTTGAATGGCGCATGACGTCACTTCTATGTACATTTTATGCGTAGAAATGACGTTTTAGCCCCAACTCCTAAACTATGATTCGTTTTATCTAAGTACCTATTCTTTTATTATACGACAAAATAAAAAAATACGTGTCTAATATTTTTTAATTACCTAACTTACGGACTAATTGTATGTTTAATTGTCATACCCTGTCATCAACCCAATTGTAATCAACCGCTAAATCGATTTAAACTGTAAAAACGATTTTTTTGTCAGCGTTTAACGGGGCGTTTCGTTTACACCGTGTGGTCACCATTTATGGTCTTAACCAATCCCTAATCTTTGGTTTTTCCCTTTCTTACTACGAGACAATGATAGTCAAATTACTGAATATCAACTGAAATAGAATTCAAACAGTGGAATTTAGTACAATGTAATATCTACAGCACTCTAGATGGATCGTAATGATGAATTAGTCTTTTCCAATATTTGAATCAGTCTGTAAATGATACATACATAGACGTACTATACGTATGTGTGCAACTCAGCCTTTACCGCCGATGTAAAATAACCTTTAAGTAAATTAAAAGAAAGTATATAGGTGTCACATACTCAAATACCTAAAAAAATTTGCTAGATATTAATAACGAGATAAAATATATAACTTTTTTGTTATAAAAATATTTAATATGGATATGGGGGCAGATGGAATAACCAATTAGCCGGTCGGTTTGGCTAATAGACACGAAGACATAAACTCAAAGCGAAATGTCGGAATAAGTTGGCGATAAAAGCTTGCATTACGCAAGGATTTGTAACAGAAAAATATTTTATCTAAATTATCTATAGGTTGTAAAACTTACTATTACATGTTCAGCTCTACATTAGTACTATTATTTAAAGAATATTTTGTGACAAAAGCATAAGTAATTGATACAAGGAGCTGTGGGAAATAAGCTCCGCCTCTTTTCAAGAATGTATTGGATACATGTATATTTAGCTATTGAAAATATATATAAGTATTCATTTTATATGCTATTGGTGTTCCAAAAGGCAACGGTAACTAGTAATCCTAATTTAACATTAAAATAAAACATTGCACAGCTTAAAATATATAGAATACGATACTTATAAGGAAAAATATTTTTATATACGAAATATAAGGTTATCGAGTAAAAATTAAGTATATTAGACTACAGTAAATAAAAAAAGAATTACAATATTGTGCGCGAAATTATTTTGCGTTAGTGATACGGATAAGTAAGATACGACAAACGAGTTCTATATAATTTAAACAATAGGTAGTATAAAACAGTGATTCTCAAAGTTGTCTGGAGTACGACTTTTCTAAACCAAGTTCCCGAATTCAGGACCCACATTCAGGGAATTGAGCCGTTACCAAATATGAAAAATAAAATACAGAACGGTTGGTTAGTGCGTCTTTGTACAGAGCTCACTAAAAATTTGCTTGAGACGCCCCAAAGGATCGCGACCTATAGTTTGGGAAGCCCTGGTATAGAAACTTAGCCGCACCCTCGTCTCGTAACAATCCGATTCGGAGTCGCGGAGAACCTAACGGGTTACCGGGGCTCCGGCTCGACGTGCAGGAGAAGGAACGGGGTGGTTTTTAGTCAGTAAGAGTCTGACACTCCCTCCCGCCTCACCCACGCGGGAGCAGACAATCGATGATTTTCCCCCTTAAAAAAGAAACCTCGTAACAACAAAAGATTTGGTTTTTGTTAAAAAAACTTGCCTGCAATATAGAGGTAGTGTTATCAATGGCTATTGTCAACTGCTGTCAATTTGAGCCAATATTTGTTTGCATACCTGCATACCAAATTCTGTTGCTACCTCTACTTCGTTTCATGTTTAGTTAGGGGATTATTTTAATGTTAATAGGAGACAAGTTCTTTAAAAAAGAGGCTACGACCAAACTCTGTGGTATTACTGTGCAAAATTGCAGGTACTTATCCATATCACATACGTTTAAAAACAAATGCATCATTGAAATTGAACACTTTCGAACAAAAAGAGAAAAGGATGACAATTTGTAACTAAAATGATTTTGAAATACTTTGTATTTTGAATGGCGTATCATTTCAATACTGATCACATAATAAACTACCAGAAACCCTGATATTTATAGTACATATTATTATAATTACCAACTACCAAATTAATTTAGCCATTACAAACTTTAGCTCCCAATAAATAAAGCATATAATTGTTTGGTAATAAAAAGTTAATGTTGGTGGAATAATTGTTAGATAAAATGTTGGCGTTGAATATTGGGGCATTTGTTACAATATTTGTAGTTGACTACGTTTTATAGGAATTGTTGACAAGAGTGTCGAAATGTTTCGAGTTTCAATCGTAATTGACTGTTATTATGCGATAGCTGCTTGCAGAATAGCATGTTATAGCATTATCAATAAGGTTGAAAATTGAAGTACACAATTGCATTGTGCCACGCAAATTATTCTGCGCAATTTCAAGAATTCGAGTTAGTAAACACTGCAACAATAAGATTTCTTCTTAGAATTCGAATTGACTTTATAATCGTTAACATTCGAAACGTAACTCTGTGCCACTAGGAATTAATACGAAAATCGTCTAACAATGAAAGTTGGAACCTTAGAATCTTTTTGATCTTAATCTTTGAAGAAACTCGAAGCATTTCCACATCCCAGTGTCTGTCGAGATGTAGTGATACATCGACATGTCATACAAATATACTTAGTCTATATGCTTTGTAAAGCGTCAGCCTTATAATAAACAATAATGGACCTTAACTACATCGTACTTATACATATGGATATTGGAGAAATTCATATTACTTAGCCGCTTATAACACATGAGATACTTTTTGACCGTACAGTGCAGATATTGGTTTAATTTAAAATATACAATAAGTCTAAGCATTCTATAAATGGAGCTTTTAAAAAGTTGATAATGTAGTTTAAAGTAATTAATTAGTAATTATTTTTTTATTTTAAGAGTAAGTAAATCAGCTTGACTTGTTTTTCTAGTAATAAGGAAACCAATTTTAGCTTTAAATTAGCTAAACTGCGGGACATTTCACTTAAATCGTCATCTCTTTGTAAGCTACGACGTGGCCGACAACGATCATTTTAAAATACACAGCAACATAGACCGTATCTCACATGTAATAAGAGCTAACATCGAATACATGTCTACAACACAAGTGTGTGAGGTACCGGGACGTTACATACCTTGAACAATCAGGTGACGTCAATGAATTTGTTACCAAAGTACTCAATAAAACACCTTTGAAACAGATAAGTAGAAGCTGACGTCGAGATTTCGCTGGTAAAAAGACAAAGGAATTTACTACATAAGTAAAGTCAATTTTAGGTTCAGATTTGGAAAACTTTTAAGAACGCGATATACGCGCATTATAGCGACTCATTACCTAGTTATTGTTGTGCTTTGAATTCTCACTATGCATACTTTGTAGAGAAGATTATGGTCGAGAGTACAATGGTCACAAAGTCACGTACCGTCGAACTGTCTACTACTATCGGCTCAGGGTGTCTTCAGAACTGCCAGACATCCGCCGTCCATTGGTCTCGTCCACCTCCTGATGTCCATTGCATCCATTCACAATCTTCGGCGGTGACGCCCTCTTCTTATACATGATATCCCATATATGATGCACGATAAGGTCAATAGCCACTGCAACAATGCAAAACGGACTTTAAATCCTTGAAAACACGCTTCTTTTTGCAGCTACATAAGAGCATAGCCGCTGCAAACATTTTTGCATTTTTTTTTTAAGTTCGAATACAGAATGTTGCAGTATACGACCTCGTTGCAGTGGCTATGACCTTGTGTCACTTACCTTCATAATGAAATGTCACATGGTATAAGAGAAAAATAGTTACCGATTGTAAAAAACACGTAAACGCGACACGGAACGATAATAATAGGTGGTATCGAATTTGCAATGTTAATTTGTTACTTTCTCTTCAAATATTCAAACCGAAATAGGTACTTCAATTTTTGCTTAGTACTATTTTTGTTGATAAATATACATTTAAGTAACGATTGTGTGTGATTCAACTTACCTAGGTTGTCGGCTCCTCTCGGAATGATGACGTCAGCAAACTTTTTGGTCTGCAAGCAATTATTTAGAAATGAGGCTATTGCGTTGCATCTACTAATTGTCAGGTATTGTTGGAACAATGCATACTTAGTATGTAATTTATCAAGATTGCTGACCAACCGATATCATTCATAGAGCTCACATTTCAACGACCGTGAACTATAGGGCTGAATACGAAAACAAATATGATAGTGATAATATAACATGTATATTTCAGTGTTTGGTTACCTACAGTCTATAGATTTTTTTTTTTTTTTTTTTTTTTTTAAGGGGGGAAAATCATCGAATGACTGCCCCCGCCTGGGTGAGGCGGGAGGGAGTGTCAGACTCTTACTGACTAAAAACCACCCCGTTCCTTCTCCTGCACGTCGAGCCGGAGCCCCGGTTACCCGTTAGGTTCTCCGCGACTCCGAATCGGCATCGGCCCTATTGGGCCCCATCTGTGGTGGTCTGATGGCTCTTTGAGGCGCGCGCGGAACGCGACGCGCCGTACGCTCGGGTCTGTTTCTGGTCGGACGGGGAGCCACCCATGCTCGCCGTCCGCAGGCCCGCGCTTACGGTGGCCGGAGATCGTCCCGCGATCCCCGACGCCCGGTGTGTCCTTCGCGATGGCTGGGTTGCGAGGAGGCAGCGCTTCGCTGCCTCACGCGTCCCGCCTCCTCCTTAGCTAGCATGACTGCTTCGCAAAAGGAGGAGACGGCATCCCAATCCCCCTCGCTCCGCATCATGGCCTGCACTAGGCCCGGACGCGAGAGGTCGCCATCGCCGATCACTTCCCTGAGGACACGGCGGTGCTCAGCCCACGAAGGGCATTCTCCCACCGTGTGTTCCACCGTGTCCTCACAGTCTATAGATAAGAGCACCTGAAAACTAGCTAAATAATGTGGAGCGATATAAAATTGTGTTCAACAATATGTTTGAAAATCATTCGTATCAATAGAGTTTCTTTATAAGCCTCCAGCTTCTGCCAGCGCCTGCGACCGACCTCCCAGGATAACAAGTTATGTGTTAATGCAAACTATGCAAATGATGGATTATCCATCTCTGAGCCAAAATAAATTCAGATTCATTCAGTAGTTTTGCATGAAAGAGTACACATACATCCTAAACTTCCACATTTACAATATTAGAAAAAAATTCATTGGCATACCAACAACAATAAGTATCAACTCACCGGTAAGCAGAACTCCTCAAAGGCTGGTTTGACAAAGTTCATGTACTGGTTCAGTACTTGCTCCAGGTCACGGCCGCGCTCCATTATGTCGCGAGGTACTGCAATTTTACACTTTCTAAGTACATCAGGTCAAGCTTGGGCTGGAATAACTGATTAATATGGGGTTCCCCAGGGTAGAATACTGGTACCACCTTCAACTTTAACATCAGCTTTTTTGTGTTTTGAGTATAGCGACATTTCATTAAATAAGCAGATGCCTTTTTGCTAAAGAGGTATTATAAATATAAATCAGAAAAACTTATTCATCTATACTAATATTATAAAGCTGAAGAGTTTGTTTTTTTGTTTGAACGCGCTAATCTTCGAAACTACTGGTCCGAACTGAAAAATTCTTTCTGTATTGGATAGCCCATTTATCGAGTTAGGCTAGGAGCTATAAAATATCATGCTACGATTAATAGGCGCTGGGCAGAGCGAGTGAAACCGCGCGGAAGTAGCTAGTTCATAATAAAATTTCAAGATCTTCTTAGTTGTGTTGTTAATCTGTTATATTTTTTAAATGTTATGTTTTTAAATGTTAAAATGTTAATAAAATCTTTTAATCTTGTGCCAGTAGGTCGAAAATTTATGACATGGTACACTTATTTCGTTGGCAATAGTTAGCAACTGCCCTTTTAAATGAAACTTACCTCTCCTAGCAAGCCTGGTGTCTGAGTCAGTGTCGACAAAGAGCTTCATGTGGAACAGTTCACGCACCTCCGGGAAGTAGAACACCAGGATTCCTTCGATCAGCACCACATCAGCAGGGTAGATTGTGTGTGAGCGATGTGGGCTGTGTAGGTTATTGTGTTTTGATTAAAATTAGCTTAATGGTATTTAATGATAATATGGTTTATTGAATTGTAAACTTGTCTTGTCTATGTATATCTTACAGGCACCAAAAACTAATTTTTGTTTCGTGTCTTAGCTCCCTCTATTAATTATGTTTAAAAAATCTAGAAATAACTCACCTAATAGAGTTGGTAATGTAATCATACTCTGGTATCTCCACCTTCTTGCCAGCTAGGATATCTTTCAGGATAGCGAGAAGCTTCTTATCATCAAATGCATCAGGGTGATCAAAGTTGAACTGTCCTCGCTCAGCTCGGAGCCTCTCTGAGGGTGTGAGAGTGCGGTAGAATGAATCCTGACTTATGCAGACTACACGGCGCTCTGTCTGCTCCTTGTGCTGTTGGCCCAACTTCTCCATGATGCGTTGACATACTGTTGACTGGATGGAGCAAATAAAATAATATTGGTTTTGGCCTAGGTATTTCGGAAATACAATATTGCTTTTAACATTATTTTTATATTTGTGTAAGTAAAACTTAGTAGGTACAAACATATATTTTGTCAATTCTTCTTATTGATTTTGAACTAAACCATTTAATAATAATAACATTGGTTTAGAAGATGTTCTTTTTGTCAAGATCTCAGTAATATCCACATTTCTTCATTGTTATTGTTATAATAAAGGATATTGGTATTTATCGAATAAAATAAATATCTAAACTGTGATGGCTATTCCCAGTCCTGGGTCTAATACATATATATTTCTTGAATAATCACTCGACTACATTATTTATTTATAACAATACCCTGCGTTTTGTTTCACTATAGCCATATTTTTGTTATATCTACAGCACCATTGCCAGTATAATTTTGTTCCCATACTTCAATGAGGTTTGTACATAGAGGTTATATATTTACGCCGTAATGACTTATCGGCTTTCAAATAGGTGACAACTCGTTTAGTAAGAATTTCTAATAAGAATAATGAAACTTGGCCATCCTTGATTACGTAAGTTACATTTCAAGTAAGAAAATCGATAAATTGCGAATCAAAACATTAGGTTAGACTAACCTTGCCGCTGGCCGTACCACCTGCCACACCAATCAGGAACGGAGTTTTGCTCTCAAAACCATTGGCAGTCGAATAATCCGTTGGTTTATCTGCCATTTTGTACGTATGAATAGATCTTACAGGTAATCTTATTTTTAAAACACCACAATACGCACTCACACAACACTTTTGCAGAAAAGCTGACATTGACATTTAAAATGCAGTATTGCCAAGGTCAAAAAATTAGAATACTTGCAATCTTGCAACTCCAACTCCACACACTGTTCTAAAAAAATAAAGTAAAACGGCCAGTTTTTAACTCCAAGGTTTAACTTAGTGGTTGGTCGGTGTACTCAATATTGTAGGTGGTCGGTGGAATAGAAATCCTTTAATTTTTCGGTAGATGAATTTGGTCTAAGTATGTGTTGTAAAGTATCGATCAAACAATTTCAAGTTTAAGCTAATACACCTACTTATATGAACCTTAACAGAACGTTCTTACAGATTTATATTACATTGGGACTTATATTGACAAGCAAAAACCTAAAAATAAAGTTTGCCAGGCAATATGGCACCAGTATTTCGTTAGTCGAATGGTCGTAAACGTGATTATCGGGTTTGATCCCGGTAAACTATAAGATATTGAGATTTTTAGTAGTAAGTATCACGGGACTCGGATTGAGTGGAGTATCTATATGGCGGTAGCCTCATCCTCTAATCTAATAGATTGGTTTGACTTGACTTTGAACACATAAAGTGCGATGTGGTAGTCTCCTATAAGTCTGAAATGGATGAATAGTGTCACGTTTTCAACTAAAACCATTATCTAACATGCAATAAATAGAAGGGTTATCAGAGCCTATGTTAACATTGTTAGGAATTACCTACAGGTCTACTTCTGAATGTTTTCCAATTCTTAAGTAGGTTTAACAAATTAATTAAAACCAGTTTAAAACATTTCATGTTATATTTATTGTTAAGCATATAAGTAGTAAAATATTACGGAATGTAGCAGCATTTGCTTTCAATACATTGTATACAAGTAAGAGCAACACTGCTCAACATAGGACACTTTCCAAAATACTGCAAAAAAGTTACAAAAAATATATTCGAGTTTTACAGATTAAATGTGGTGTTTAGACTTGGTTTCTGAGTTTTTGGTCGGCTTGTCTGAGTGCGGTGGCCATGTGGAGTTGTTTCACTCTGAGACGGGCCCACACGAGGTAGTCTTGCAGGCCGATGATTTGCGCAGCCATTAGCGCAGCGCTGTCGGGGTAGATGACTGTTGCGCAACCCAAGCCAGATGGCACGGAGAGAGATGACCAGATGTCCTGGAGGAAGGAAAGATAATACACTTATTAAGAGACTTGAAAGTCCAAAATGTTTAATAACCACTTAAGTTTTCAGAGGTTTCACTAAATAACGAACTGTTGACGGAAGATAATCATAAAATAGTTACTTATCTATCTCCTCAAATTATTACCAAAAACGAAAAATAAGATGCAAAAAATAGTTCTAATAATTTACCTGGACCATTTTATCGGAGGGTGGTGGGCAGTTGATGACAGGGTAGGATGTGTTTCCAGACAGTACTGGCCCCAGTCCGTTGGAGCGACCCGCCACTGCGATAAAGACAAGGGCTCCATGCGTGTCCTCATATTGCTGCATGATGCGCAGGGTCTCCTCGGTCGCCTTGTGAGCTGATGTCACGCGGAGATCCACGCTTAGGCCGAGCTCACGAGCGGCTGTTGATGTGAATTAAGTGCCAACTTTAGGGGATTTGGTTTTGTAGAAAAAAGGTTTTTGCGAATTACAAAATTACGGCCCTAAGTATCGACATTGAGAACGACAAACTTTTCTGAATCCATTTAATTGATTTTCAACCTTATCTTTTTGTAATAAAAAACGAAAATCATTAATGATGTTTCTAACTTAGTAATCGTAATCATTTCAGAATACCCGTCCTGTATTGAAGGTACGAGATAATCCAATGAGACGACGAAAAGACTATATAGTTGTTTTGAAAATATTAAAAATTATCCCAATTTCGATAGCAATAAAGTACAAAATACCTTTGGCGATCTTCTGGCAATGCTCCTGGTCGGCAGGAGAACCCATGAAGACAACTACTTTGTGATGCACGTTGGGTTTGAGGAAGTCCAGCTGGTCCTTCACCCAGCCGAAGTTGCGCTTCACTGTGTCCAGGTCAGCTGCTGTTACTGTGGTCAGGTTTCTGTATACCTGAGATCCGAAGAAGTTTTTAATGTAGAAAGCCGGTACGTAAAACTATACCCTTATTACTCTCTTTAATAGAATCGAAGAGGTTCAAAACTGGCTGTTATAAGGTCTTTGTTTTTTAAGGGGGGAAAATCATCGAATGGATGCTCCTGCTTGGGTGAGGCGGGAGGGAGTGTCAGACTCTTACTGACTAAAAACCACCCCGTTCCTTCTCGTGCACGTCGAGCCGAAGCCCCGGTAACCCATTAGGTTACAATGTCTAGGAGCGAATCTCATATGAAAATTACTATTAGGTGGGTAGTATTACATACCTGTTTGTCTACCATCAGCCTTTTGTCACCAGAGGGCCACAGCCTCCAGGAATCGGAGTCGATAACGTCAGCCAGCAGGATGTTACCTAACAATTAAGATTTAATCATTAAAGAACGAACTTCTCCACTCGAATCGACATTTTGGAACGAGTGCCTAGCTTCACTGACGGACAGACTGACAGACTATTATTTATTTCATATTTGTTGAGTTGTTGACGTTTCAAAAGTACCTACTAAATTATGGTTTAATTAAAATAAATGCTTTTGAGTTTGAGTTTGATATTTTCTCATGCAGCAGACCATAGCCTCAAGAGTCAGTTTGCTTACCTTCAGTGTCCACGCCGAATTCGATCTTCATGTCAATGAGAGCGCAGTCGCGGAGAGCCCACGCCTTCTCCAAGATCTCGAACACCAAAATAGTGGCCTTCCTCATGTAGTCCACTTCATCCTGACCTGGTGGAGATGAAAGATAACTTGAGCGGTTTTACGTAGAAAATAAAACAAAACGGTTGTTCAGTGATCGATATCGATGTCTTGTTCGTCGAATTCGACGCCCGGATAAGGCAAAAGCCCGGATAAGGCAAATCATTTTTGGGCTTCCAATTTCTTCCAGTGCATTTCAAATTGCATTGCAATAAGCTCGACTTTCATTCGGAACACGGGACTCATAAAATCTGGTAAAGTGAGTGCAAAATTCGAACAACACAATGTAGGTACTCCTTTATCTTTTGAATTCATTGTAGAAGCAATTAATTCAAATAGGGCGTCGGTCCACAGATGCTTATAACAAAACATATCATTAAGCCTTTTATCCCCAAAGGGGTAGGCAGAGGTGCACATTACGGCACTTAATGCCACTGACTGTACTATGTAACACCGACTTTTCACTGTTTATGTTATGAGTACCATGTAATAGGGGGTGAGCCTATTGCCATATACCGGGCACAATTCCAGACTCCATGCTACTACTGTTTTTTTTTAAACCCAGTAATACTTTGCCCGACCCAGGAATCGAACCAGAAACCCCTTGCCTGGCAGTCGCATTTGCGACCACTCGGCCAGCTTCGCACGGGTGCAATATGCATGTATTATACATATAAACCTTCCTTAAACTGTCAAACACCAAGCGGTCACCGGTGACCGCAACCTATTGTTCTATAATTGTGTCTACAAAACCGGTACTCGACGAGTTAAGAATCACTCTATTTATTAAAAAAAGTGGCGCATCAAAATCCGTTGCGTATTTTTATAGATCTAAGCATACATAGGGACAGACAGACAGCGGAGGGACTTTGTTTTATACTATGCAGTGATAGCGATGATTAAAATAAACTTACCAATAGTAAGTCCGTTAATGTGGAACTTGGCAGACACGATCTGTTCCTCAGACCATTGAGGGTCGTGGTTGGCATCGTCCTTGAAGAAGGTCTCCTGCTTCGGAGGAGTGAATCTGAAGCCCTCTGGTACTCCAGGGTTCCTCTTCAGGAAGGATCCGGTAGCCAGACGCCTAGTCACCCATTCGATTGGGATCATGTCACATTTTTTTGATATGAACGCTGTCGGTGACGCGATTTTGACGAAAGCTGTGTTAATTCCTGAAAATAGAATATCATTTTTAGTTAAGAATAGTGTAAAAGAAAATGAAGTGGGTGTCGCAGTTAAAATTTATCACCTAAACGTGTAGGGACTTATTTCAGAGAAGGTCTTAGGCATTCCGTGGATTAGTAGGTAAATCAGCGTTTCCTTTTATAAACCTATCGATGACTGAAGATGTCTTTAACCTATTAGCCTGTTAGATGGTAAATTCCGTAATTAGACCGCAAAGAACTCTTACATATTTCTCATTATTTGAATCTAACCGAATTATACCATTTGCATTATATTATTCCTAATTACAAAATCATTCACTATATAGACTATAATACTTTCAATTACTTTCATACGCTTATTTATCAATCTTTGACGTATAAATTAAATTCTACAAATAAGTAAAGTAAGTAGGTACGTTAAATCCATCAAAAGTCCAATGACGCACCCAATTGTTTTCTATTTAAAAAAACAAGCTCGTTATAGATAATAAATAATAATAACGAGGGTCCATAAATATTATGAAGATGACCTCTAACGAAGGCAATGTTTCATAACTGTTACAAGATAATCTGTTGTTGTTTGCGCCTGCGCAGGGTCCCGCGGGTCACAATAATAACATCGTAATAATACGTTGTAATATCTACGTATTTCGGTAGACTTTACCTTATGTCTCCTTGTAATACAACGTTTGTCGAAGAACTAAATGTGCGCAAAGAATCCCTCTTTTTAGGGGACTTATCTATTCTATTTATTAGCAAAATTCATCCAATTAATTTGTAAGGTAAAATAATTAAGGCTAGTGAATGTAGTAAGGATTTTTTTGTCAAGAATGTGGCAGGGCATACGTATATGACTCAGGTCAATAACCAATATTCTGCCTTGTAAAAAGGCTTGTAGGCGTGTCTCAATACCTACAAATAATTGTCATAAAATTAAAAAATAAACATGTTATTTCCTCATAATCTATTTCCGAATGATCATTGACATTTTATCGCACAAAAAAATGTTTTAGTCAGTTGACTTAAGGGTCATATTTCAATGGCGACTTTGGTCAGCCGAGTACCGAAGTAATATTACATCATTATTTGACCAGTCCGTCAGTTTATCTCATTGATAACAGAGAACAAAAGACCAACTGTATCTTAGTTTGATATAAACTGACGCACAACTGAAGGGCAGGTCGTCCAGCTAATCTTGGACGAAATATCTGCGACCACAGGCGAAGTTTTGATAGTAACTTTGCCAATTAGCGATGATTTACTAAGTATTTTTATCTGAATATGATAAAAATTCAGATATCACTGTGAACTCTTGTGCTGGTAACACATTTGATGATTTGGCAAGATTAACTAAAGTCAAGTGTAATATGTTCGAGTAAAGAACTAAAGAGTAAAGATGGTAAATATTCATTTGTGACATTTACTTTACAATTCTTGCCATATTTAAAAATGTGCATAAATAAAAAACAAATACTTAAAAAACAGGGAGATTATAATTTCCTTACCAGCAGACTTGAGAATATCGAAGACTTTGGCATTGGTCTGGTTGGAGATAGCGGCTTTTCCTTCAAGGTCATGGGCCTTCACGCCGTCTCCGGCGGTGATGCGGTCCTTGTTCAGCAGGAGACAGTGGCCAGGTACCTCGGGCAAGTCGAACACCTGCTTTGTCTTGCCCTCGATAAGGAGGTTTCCTAGCTTGTAGCCACCGACTGAAAACAATAGGTTTGATGGTTAGAATAACGAGCTTAATGATATGCTATTAGAGTTGTGAATGTGATATCTGGTGCAGTGACGAGAGTGTGACATAGCTCTGTATCAGCATCCAGTACAGCGCAGTAGCAGTAACTTGACTCTTTGGTGGCCACTGTACAATATAACACCTACTTTTCAATATTTATTTTATGAGTCCCATGGAATAGGGGGTGAGCCTATTGCCACAAATCCAGACACCGTCCTACTTCTGAGATTTTTTTAACGCAGTTATACTTTGTACGATCGGAGAATCGAACCCGAGACCCCTTGCCCGGCAGTCCCATTTGCAACCAATTGACCAACGAGGCAGTTACAGAGTTATGTTAACAATAGTAGGTAATAGGCAGGTACCATACCATATCACATACATCATAATATGTCATTGTCTCTAATATGCTTCAATATCTTAATATCTGATACCGTAATGTAAATAAAAAAAACACTCTTCGACACTGGCAGTATAGTCGACAACACCATTTTGGAGACTCGGTTGCCAAAGAAAATAATAATAATAATAAAAAGTTCGGTAATATTAAAGTTTCGAGAGGTACCTTGAACCAACCTTAATATTATTGTAAGGAACTAGTTATATTGTTTGATGGGGTTTGGAACAGATTCCAAAACCAACAGGACCCCCTTCAGAGGTAATAGAGTAATGAGAGACAGCAGCGTTGTGTCAGTTTATTTATTTAAACTGTCAAACACCAAGCGGTCACCGGTGACCGCAACCTATTGTTCTATAATTGTGTCTACAAAACCGGTACTCGACGAGTTAATCGATTTACCGATGTTTCTATGAATGTTGTCTATCGTAGCTAGCTACCTTCTTTATTTAAGTAATATCGTTTGGTTACGTTACCTAGCCCCCTAGTTTTTTATATCCAGTAGGTACTTAGAAAAACTAGATTAAAAAAGTTAATCTTTATTTTCATTTTAATTTTGAAATACGCAGTTTCAAGTGCATAATTATGTGCCTATTTATTGTATATAAGTAAGTAGGTACATTTTATGTACCCAAGTACTTAGTTATTAGATTTAAACTGTCAAACACCAAGCGGTCACCGGTGACCGCAACCTATTGTTCTATAATTGTGTCTACAAAACCGGTACTCGACGAGTTAAATTAAGTATGGAACCGTAGAAAAATGTAGGTGACGAATTGTAATAAATACGTGCGTGAATCTAATCAATTAGTTTAATTTAACATACGAGTTAGATATTATTACAGTTTATGAGGGTAGTCATAAAGAACGCGTTTACTTTTACCAGCGTATTTATCTAACAAACCTAAGATCAAGATTACAGATCAAGGACCGGCTGACTATCAAATGAACCATGTGATTCAATGAAAAAAAGATAATACAACTCGTACAACTGGTAACAAGACATTTAAATAAAAAGAATCAACATTTAATTTATAGTCAAGGCCGAACAAAGCCAGTTCCTTAATATTTGTATGAATAAAATACAAACCAACAAAAAGAAACGAATACAATACATTCACGATGTCCTAGTCTATGGTACTTTTGAATTTAGGCGGGTTATATTACATTTTGACAGCCGAGTTGTAAAGTTTCGAAATGTAAATAAAAAATTACCTTCTTTTGGATGAGCCATTTTCTGTGAACCGCTAGTACTCCTGTGTGGGAATAGCAAGACTATGGGTCGCGCGTTTGTTCCACGGCACAGCGAGGGCCTTTTATAAAGTTTTGTGTTCGGAGATGTGCACCACGTGCTTCGCTCGCTACGCACACAACCGGGTCGGCTTGATAACAAGTAGTGTAGTGCGACTACCGCGTCTTGATCTGTACTTTATACGTACTTGCATTTATTTGTAAACAAAATTGTTTTGTTGGATTGAGTTGAAATCAAAACATAACATAATTTTCATATCTTTATAAAATTTAATTATTGATGTACTTAAATGAATTATTGCCTTATAAAACATTACGTTTTTCAGTTACGTTGCTTGCGGCCCAATCCTTTCCTAATCCCAGCAACGTACTTGTAACTCCTCTAATATTGCGAGTATAGATTGGCGATGGCACTGATTGCTTCCCACCAGGTAATTCGTTTACTCATTTACCGATAAATTCCATAAAAAAACTTTGTTAGGTTCCATGAACAAGAAAACAAGATAATTCCAAAAGTTACCTAAGAGATCATTATTACCATTTAAAATTAATAACTATATATAAATTACGTTTCATTTTTATATTGTTAATACGTCGGACAAATGAATAGCTTTTTTAATTCTTCAAGTATCAAAACATACAAGGTTTTAACAACTTCATGTGCGTTCTGAAGCCTACTCAGATTATGTTTTATCCGTAGACGGAAGTTCTTTTCATTCATTCTAAGATAAAATAATTTGAGTTTTAACAAATAAGCCAGTCTATTCCAATAATATTGATATTCGGTAATTAAAAAATTGCTTAAAATAATATATCGTGCTGTACAAGGTAACTGAGATAATAATCTTTATCTCCTGATGTAATAATATTACTTTATTGAAAGTTAATCAGTAAATAAATACAGCGGATATGTTCGTTTTCGCGCTAGTATATTACTAGTATATTACTTATATGCTTATTGATTGCTTTATTTTTTAAGAACACATTTGGTTTCTCCTGACATACACTTTCGAGGTAAAAAAAAATTATAATATTTTTATAGGAACTTAACAACTATATTATCGCAGCAAGTTTCAAAATTAGTATATTTGACTAGCATTCGGAACGTGTTTCATTCTCTATCCTTGTCGCACACTTAACGTCAAACTAATTCAAACAAATGAATGAATACAGACCGAGTCTGTGTACAATTTACTCGTACTTCCTTCGCTATCCGTAAGTTGCCGCTCCGCTGCTGTTAATTTACGAAATAAAAAATACAGTGTATCTTTTCGCAAGTTTATTTCTCGAAGTAATCCGTCCAGGTGAGTGATTTATTTGATATAACTAACATATTTGTTGTGTACAATCAGTACAGGTATGCGTTTACCTGTTGCCATTAAAATTATGCGACGAAATTCAATTCAGGAAAGTTGTAAAACTTTTGTTTGTTTGTAATGATCAATGTAACTTGGCCCGGTTATAGTCTTAAAATTTATAAATGTTGTGCGTACCACATGGTTTTAATTTACGACGTGGTATTTTAATTGAATTATTGTATGTTCTTGAATTGCTTTTTGACATGTGATCGTAGTTTATGTTAATTTGTCACAATTGTTGTCCAATTGACAATATCCCCATGATTTTAAAGCAAGGTTAGGTCATATGGCCTCGAATTAAAAAAAATATATCGATGATAGAATACTGAATAGTGTCGGCATTTGTTTTGATCAAAAATCTTTGGTGTCATTAGTTCAACTCACATTACCATAATTTTTTGATAGGTACTGCTGCAAGTACAAAAAAATACCATGCTTTAAATTTAAAATAATATTTAAAACTGTGATAGAATATCTTTTTTGTATCTTAGTAAACAAAAAAAAATACCATTTTTTAGCACATGGTAATTTATGTTCCTTTACTTATTCATTCTGCCGTCTTAGTTATATTTTAGGCTACGATTTATTTTATTTTACACCGAAAATGTTTTCAACAAACTTTATTTAATTTAATAATCAAAATTAGGTGTTATTTTTTAATCAACTCTTATGGATACCAACCCCTACTTGAACTGTTTTGTGACAAAAATGTACTGGTATAATATTCAACCTATCTAATAAAAACAAATTATTTACCAAAGTCTTAATATTCAGACATCATAGTTCAAGTTAAAAAGTATTTTACATATTTATAAGCTCGGAAACATAATTAAGTAAATCCGAGTATTCAATTCAATAGTGATTGATCAAAGTGAATAATCCGATCCAAGTACTCTTTTCCATGGCAGCATTTTTGTCTATGACTAGTCCAAGCTGCCTGTCACATTAAATTCTAAATACAAAATGAATGAAAAAAGATTTTATTCAACTTTATAGTTGGAATTAATTCTGTTATGTCATCAATTTTATTGAGTGTACTATAGACTAGTAAATAGCTAGACCAGTGTTATTGGCCTACTTATTGCTTGGCCTGCCTATCATTAGGTTCATGCTATAAAGATATTAAAGAAAATAATACTATTAGTGCCAATCTTGTTATTTACAATGCAAATGAGATATGGCCTTAGAATTATTTGCTATGATCGGAGAGGTTGTCAGTACATTGTCTTTGTGACCCTATATTTTATTGTAAGATAATGTATTATTTTTTACTGAATGATATTGGAATTATTTCCCCCTGGGATATCTGAACGAGATATGGATTTTTTTTAGAATAGAAGTTAAATAATAGTTAGTTTTCTAATAACAGTATTTGTTTTGCTGTTTAGTGTCAATTGTTTATTTCAGTACCCATAATTTATTCTTTGTAATTATTTTTAGATTTTCTATTGTTGATTTACCTACATAATATTTGACTAACAATAGTCCTTCAATGAGTAATATACATACAACATACATATTTAACAATATACAAAAGTAAACGGGGATAAATAAAATTGGTCTTTTGGTCCAAAATTCTGTATTTCAAATTTTACAAGTACCTAGTAGGCAGATCATTCCTTATCTGGTTTATGACACTTGATTGTCCAATCAAGGCCTTCTTCTTGTCTTTGGGTACAAATAAAGTACGATACGCACTCCATTTACGTTCAAATCTTACGTCATCGAAAATCGCGTGCGTATGTGATGTTTGCGAATATAAAATACTTACATACTATTGGGCACATGGAGTTTTTTATCGTGTAATAATCATTTGAATTTGAACATAACGCGAACTTTATCCTTGGGATAAAGTTTGCGTTATGTTTTTGTTGCTAAGTATGTACCTATTTGCGAAATATTTAAGTTGACGATTATGTTCAATTAAGTCTAACTACTTAGGTAATAGGACACTTTTTACCTAGCTAATTGGGGTTGTTATTTACTTATCTATAACTGTGCGTTTTTGAAGGATATTATGTACTTAATGGACGATACTGACAATAAGATTTAGGCATTCTATAATTCGGTAATAGTTCTTTATTATTGCTAATACTATTCTTGGCTCAGTGTAAAGAGTCGTGGTCCTGGTCCTTAACTGAACCCTTGGGTTCTCCCTCAAGTTAATTACTGGTTTATTATTAAATCACATACATACTGTAGACACACTATCCAAATACGTTAGCTTTAATGTTATATAATTTTTCCTTGTTCAGTTCTGTAACTTTTCAAACCCAATCATAGAGTAGCGTCATATCCCTTTTATTAGCCCTAACTAAGGAAAGTTTATTCATAACTTACTTACTTTATACCTAAATTGAACTTATATTGCCTTAAGTAAATTAAGTAGTATCCGTAGATAATCGCTCTTTTTAAACCCATAGCTTTTATTTATTCTCTTGCAGTATTTATTACTTAAAAGTCTTGTTATCTGGTCCTTTTGGTCCCATCCATTCTTCCTAGACAGAGACATTAAGTCTTATCTCGCCTTATCATCATAATTGCATACAATTCGTTATATGGCTCATCATTAGTCCATTTCCGTCCTTTATTGGGAGTACTGGGCATACGTCTTTCAATCGGCTCGTCGCAACCAACGATTGCCATTTTGCGAATATCAACACTCCACTTAGATAGAAGGCATCCATTTTGGAGATGGTCTTATACATAGTTTCATTTAACAATCCAACAGGTACACAAATAAAGCCGTAACTATCAAATCACGTACGTAGTAATTAGTAATTATTTTAATTACTATAATTAGTACCTAATGTTTCCATGGAAAATAACAATTACTGGGTCGTTAACCGTTCTGTGTCAGAGGTATGTCTCTAAGACGACCTAACAGGGTCGCATTTTGCAGTAACTATCGTGTCATTTACTTAATTGAAAAATACAGATTCAGCTTATTTACGTGAATTATTCAAGAAAAAGCTCTACTAGTTTCAAGGTAGCCTGAGACTCGTGTTCATAAGCTGCGTGCGCGATGCGGAGACGCAATTGCTTACTGTAAATATTCTTTTAGATACTTTTTCTCTTAGAGCAGACAAGCGAGAGGTAGAAAATTTAACTGTGGGAAGATCAGTCTTTTATAGTTAGCACATTAATAAAAACTGTTACATTTAGTAGGTAGCTACTGAATTATTGTTTAAGACCTATCAAAGCTTATTCTTTCAAGTCCCATTTCTGGTCTTTTTATACGAATCCATAGAAAAAAGGTTGATTTCAAATAAATGAATTTAGACTCATAATCATAATAGCACACATTAAACAAATTACTCAACCAGCCTCGACCAGTAGGTGGTACTTATAATTACATCATAAATTATACAGCCGTTCGCAATTATGTAACCTGATATTGCTACATATTAGAAATATAATCAGCTGCATTGATACTGTCTGTCTGTTGTAACAGTGACAGTAACAACTTGATGTTAGAAAATAGCAGGCATTTCCGGATAAAACTAGTTGTCTAGTCAGCTGAGTTGATCGAGAATTGATTCCATTGACACCTAATCAATTGAGATTGAATGTGTCAATGATTTGAACTGTTAAATATGTAATAGTAATTTATTTTCGTACTATTTACGCGCAAGTTTTTTTATTGTACGATATCGATGAATTTTTGCCTAACACGGAACCTTTCAAAGCCAACTGTTTGGTCTAACGAAACGTAGATTCTTCGTCCTTAAAATGTATAAAAGCCGATATTGAGCCAAAAGAGACTTCAATAGGCGCCCACTCTTTGGGAGAAATACTAGAGAGTGTGGGATTTTTACCTTACTAAAACCACCCGGTGGCCACCCTCAGCACCTGGAAGAGGCACCGGGTCCTCTGACATTGTTAAAGACCTAGGTCAATCTACTTATCGAAGGACCAGTTAAACAAATGCAACGGAATCCATAAAACATACCGTTATCGTATTCACATCACAACCATTTTAAACACTAATCAGACTCAGCTGCTTCGCCAATTAAAAATAATTCCCCTCGTGACTATATTTATCAATGCTTTGATATCTATAATGTCTATTTATAGTGCAAAAGTTTACAAAAGAAGAGTCGAGACCTGTTTATCCAATAATTGCACAGGTCAACGTGATTGCTCTATCACAAAATCGTACGACAAAAATAATACATCACTAAGCGATGTTTTTTATTGCACCAGACTACTAAATATAGTGAGGCACTGTCATTATCACAATTATTAATGTTGTGTTAATTTCCAATAATCTTATCGTCAGCTTGTTTATTGCTCCCCCTTGTGGAAATGTACAAGTCACAAGATAACTGACCCCCTACGAGTCAAGCGTCTTTTGTAATGACGACACATTAATAGCATATTGCTAATGTTTATAACTATATTTACAGAATCTCGAACTCGATCTCAATTTAATGTTTATTATTTTCTGGTTTATTTATTTCTCCAGTGTTTCATCATTTTGGTTTCGTCGATAACGCTTATAACGCAAGCTGTTGAAGTCTTGCTATTTTTTGTTTGTCGTGAATTTGCGAAATTGGCTTTTTTGCACTGTAAGACGAAACCAAATTATTGCAATCAGAAACTGCAGAGTCAGTATCTACTTAATTTGTTTTTGTGCTCTACACGCAACTCCAGTTCTAATCCTGGCAGGACTGCTGAGAGATTTAATCGGGAACAAGATGTGTGACTGAGAGAGAACTAGTTAGTCGACTACTTAACATCCGTATTGATCAATCTATGGGAAATTATACCCATTAAAACTGTTCACTAGATTATTAATGCATGGTAACAGACGAATGGCGAGAAATTAGCTACCTTTACTAATCAATACAAAATCTAATTTTCTGCACAGAAAATGTCTTGGAGGAATGTCTCTTTTGCGGACAGTACGCGTCAAAAATGGTGTCAATCACGCGATTTCGATTGTTGACTGCTCTGATTGACGTCTTGTTTACTTGTGATGTGGAGCGATGAACGTTGAAATATGGCAATATGGCATGCCACTCATCCGAACTAATGGAGGGGGGCAGCAGACATCTAGGCTACACTCAGTTGCACTTTTCCCTTCAGACAACTTTTACCTAATACCTATTCTCAGTTTGTGACTTAGAACTATTTTGAGCCCTAATTTATCTGGTTTGTGATCATAATTTCTGTTGGTAGCGTAACTTCCTCATTTGGATATCTAAAGAAAACAAACTACGTAGAAGTAAGATTTTTTTATTATTTTCTGTTCCATTGTCCCACTTCCCTCACCCTTTGACCCAGTAGCAAAGAAGCTGCGCAAATAATATTTTGATGAAATTAACTATTATTATGAATAACGCGGTTGGCAACATTATCTCGCTCAAATTATCGCTATCCCAATATCGTATGACGTCAAATATATTATTTAAACAAACCCTTGACGTCACGCATTGAAATCGGTACGTCTTGGTGTTGTGAAGCAAAAGTATTTGTCATTTAGTCCAATGTTAATTTAGCTCATGTTTTTGTTTTATTATCGAGCAATTGTGTGTTATTGGCATTAAAAACTTGTTTGTATGTTGTACCGAGGCGCTTATAATCTAAAGTGTTTAAGGAGTCTGGTTAGTTTAGTTTCCAACGTCGCTGTGTGATTTTGTGCGGTCAGAACAATTAGTGACCTCTGTGTTTGTTTATATTGAAATAAAAAAAAATATTTATTTTTAAATCCTATCGTCGCTCAGTGACAGTTGCACGTGAGTTTCTTTCTTATAGAACGGAAATAAATAGGGCTAATATATTAATTAGTACTGGTCTAGTTTCTTACTGGCTAATATGAATCTGATATTTGAATGAATATTTTAGTAGTTAATCTTGACAATTTTACACCTGAGTTCACTGTTGACTAACGCGTGATGAATTTCATTTTGATTTGTATGCAATTATTAGTGCATTCTGCATTTGCCTTTAATTACCTAGAACTTATCAAATTACATATAGGCTTCAAAAGTCTATATAAACTTGTAATCACAAATTTTTAAAATATCCAACCATTGCGACTTTAGGACTCAAAATTCAAATCTGGTCCTTTCAGAAATAACATGAACGGTCCCGAAGGACCATCTCGATGCTGCGATGATGGATGCAAGAATCTGAACAATACACAGGCAGCCATGGAGCGTCTAGGAATGGAAGAATCTCCTGGCTGTGAAGCCAGCCCTGCTGGCGAAGTGAAGTTGAACAGCAAGAGGTTCGGAAGAGGAGCTGTGGAGTCAGGTTTGTTCCTTTATGTTAATGTATGTAATAATTTTACAGGCTAGCTATGTAGTCATCGTACTATTTTTGATGATTTTGACTTGCGGGTGAGTATTAGGAGCATTTTTCGTCTTTGTTAGAACACACATAACATAACATCACGCCTTTTATCCCGAAGGGGTAGGCAGAGGTGCACATTATACCACTGTACAATGTCACACCCACTTTTCACTATTTATGTTATCAGTCCCATGTAATAGGTGGTGAGCCTATTGCCATATACAGGACACAATTCCAGACTCCGTGCTACTACTGAGAATTTGTTAGAACAAGAACAATAATACGGAACTAAGGATTAATTGAATAACCATACATTAGGTAGGAATTAGGAACATTCTTTAATAGGTTTCAGCTGCTGACAGCTCTTATAAAATGGCATTCTGAGCGACAAGGACCAGCTTATTTTTAGTGTATCTGCAAACATAACCATTTTTAGAACTATATGTACGAAGAATACGTACACAGACGACCATTTTCTTTTAAAAGACCTGATTATTCATCATTAGAATAATACTAATGTGACTTTCCGTTACTCAACCTTTTGGTTTTATGCCCAACGTGTCTGCTCATCAGTTGGGCTGTATTTTTCTTTTATGACACCTCCACATGTCGTTTGAGCCGCGTTTTTTTTCATTTAGGAAAGTTGCTGTAAATACTTAAACAAACACTACATACTTAGGAACTTAGAGGTTCATTCATTTCAAATAACAAGGATTAGGAGTCTGGGAGTACCTATGCTGAGAATCGCTTGAGACCTGCGGATCTAGAAGTCATCGGGAGATGCTTATGTTTAACAGCGGACGTCTTGTAGCTGATATAATGAATGAAGATGCTGAAAATGCATTAAAAACCTGAATATTTAATATTGATATGTAATCTAAACAAAGACAACGAAAATGTAGCTTCACATATACTACGATGAAAAGTCTACAGCATCGCATCGTCTAATGATGGGGTATTATATCTTATTATGTACTCTCGGTTGAGGTGCTAATTGCCATGCTAGAAATATACGTAGTTAGGTACAATATTAAACAATTCGATATCGAAGGTCTTTGTCATCTCTGATGTTATCGACTTGCCCTTCAATAGAGACCCTTTATCAACGCTACCTTGAGTTGGCGATGCTGAAAGTGGTTATAACCGCTACTAAATTGAACTAAATGATAGTGAATATTAATAAAATTATTTCATAACATTTTGCGACTCGGAATTGATGAATGTTTAATGGTGAATGTGATTTGTGGTTTTACATTAATAGTAACATTATATTAGCGAAGCAGTAGGTAGGAGTACTTAAGGTGGTCCTGATTAATATCTTATTGATATTTTACGAGTAGTTATTACAAGGTATGCAATTCTCTTAAACACAAATTAGGGGGAATTTCCCACATCTATTATAATATAAAGCGAAAGAGTTTGTTTTTTTGTTTGAACGCGCTAATCTCCATAACTACAAGTTTGATTTGAATAATTATTTTTGTGTTGGATAGCGCATTTATCGAGGATTGCTATAGGCTATAAACCATCACGCTACGACCAATAGGAGCTGAGCAGAGCATGTGAAACCGCGTGGAAGTAGCTAGTTTCAAAATAAATGAGATGTTTTCCAAGCAATTTTTTTCGGTTGGTCACAGCTAAGCATTAAAATATTCACATTTAATAATTATAAAGTGTAAATTTGATTGCGATAAACTAGGCATCGATGAGTGAATGTTTTAAAAACGAAAATGTTACGGTTGATTCAAAAAACTTGTGGCAGCAGTAGCGCTGGAATAAATAATTGTAGTTAGTCCTTAGATTGTTCTTTCTGCAGTAAATTTAGTGTAAATCATAGCTATATTTGGTAATTAGTTTACAATTGTTAATTTCACATTAGGTATCAAAATAATCACTCTGAAACGTAGAGACGTTTCGCAGAGGCGAATTAGGTATTGAATTACGCTATATTTTTTTATTTATTTATAAAAAGCAATCGCGCGAGATTTTTTATACAGCAATGTTTATGATTTGGTAATGTTAAGGTTAGCTGATATTGACTCTGCGAAAAAATATCGGTTCGTTATGTGATAGGGAAGTTTAGTGGCCTAATAATTTGATAACAAAGAGTAAAGGAGGTCATAGATTTTTGGGAATTAATACCGATACGCTCTTTTCTATTTCAATGCGCTAATGACACTTTGGAATCAGCATGCAAATTCAATCAACATTAAATGTACTATAATACGTCCATTTCGTATTTAAAATTTTGATTATGTACCTAGCATATGAGATTTTGCAATTTTTTCTACATTCGACCCAAAGGACCAAAAGTGGTCCTTCGGTCTCTATCGCTTCTCTTTTACCTATGTAAAATAAATACGAGATAATATGATGGTTCTATAACCATCATATTATCTCAGCATGGTATCTATATTATTATTCCACACCCATAAAACAAACAGAGGGCCTAGTTCAAGTTTTATTTTAAGGTTAACGCAAAAGATATGTTACCGCGTCTTTCTGATTGGTCCGTTAACTTAGAGCAGCCAATCAGAGGGCTAAACCCGATAACGATTGTGTAAAAGTAAAGCACTAGGCGTTCAGAGCAGTTTTAGATAAAATTCGGAACTCATAGTTTCCGTGTTATCGAATCGAACAGAATAGATAGATAGGCTTTTATCACCGTTGATGAAACTATAGAGGTCATGCCATATGATCGGCTTTGTGACGATAAGGACCACTACCACGTGTACTATGATTCTAATTGATATTGTAGAAGCATATGATTAGCACGTGATTATGTGCATATTAGAAAGTGTTACAGTTATTGAATAGTTCAGAGTGCTAATTGATAAGGTACTTATAATGATACTTTTATACGATGATTCATTTTTATATATGAATGATGAAAATTACAAAATCAATCTTACATAAACATAACATCACGCCTTTTATCCCTGAAGGGGTAGGCAGGGGCGCACATTACGGCACTTAATGCCACTATACAATGTAACACCCACTTTTTCACTATTTATGTTATGAGTCCCATGTAATAGGGGGTGAGCCTATTACCATATACCGGGCACATGTCCAAACAACGTGCTACTACTAAGATTTTTAAAAACCCAGTAATACTTTGCCCGACCCGGGAATCGAACCCGAGATCCCTTGCCCGGCAGTCGCACTTGCGACCACTCGGCCAACGAGGCAGTCTAAAAAAGTCAATCTTACTATCTTACTAATATTATAAATGCGAAACTTTGTGTTTTGTGTGTGTTTGTTACACAAAATACACAATCACGTAAAAGCGGCTGAAGGGATCAGGATTTGGAACAGGGATAGATTATGGTCTGGATTAACACAAAGGGTACTTTTTATCCCATGACACTGCGGAAAGAACCCCTGGGCAGTTTTTTGTTTTTTTTAAGGGGGAAAATCATAGAATGTCTGCTCCCGCCTGGGTGAGGCGGGAGGGAGTGTCAGACTCTTATTGACTAAAAACCACCCCGTTCCTTCTCCTGCACGTCGAGCCGGAGCCCCGGTAACCCGTTAGGTTCTCCGCGACCCCCGGACAGAGTTAGTTTTCATATGAATGATAAAATCAATAGATTATAATGTCGAGTATTATGATTCAATAATGTTCATTGAAAAATATTATGAATGAATCTGTGTCCCACATTTTATGATTGATTGGTTATCTGATTTAAGTAACATGTCATATAGAGTGATGTATTACTGTAATAAGCTGAGTTTATTATCGTTAAATCTAGTAAAAGGCCACAACGAAATCTGTCATACCTTCATATAAATCCCAAATGATATGAAAAAATTATCAGTAGTAGCGCGGAGTCTGGAATTGTGTCCGGTATATGGCAAAAGGCTCACCCCCTATTACATGGGACTCATAACATAAAAGTAAAAAGTGAATGTTATATTGTACAGTGGCATAATGTGCACCTCTGCCTACCCCTTCGGGAATAAAAGGCGTGATGTTATGTTATGATATGAAACAAACACTACTTTATTCACTTATCGTTATCATTTGCCATTGAAATTAAATTAAAGTTAAGATTTCCGGTTCATACCACCCAGCCGCAAATTTTCCAAAATACCGATAACCCTCATACAACTTTAATTAGATTTATTCATTAACGTTTTAAAATGAAGATAAGTCATTCTGTAATCTTCAAACTAATTAAGTTTAGCAAAGATTTTATCTCTTTATAATTACAGTTACCGGTAAAAAATGGGTCAATATTAACTACTATATTATGTAACGGCATGATCATGAAAGATTATATTGAACTTGTAGTAAAAAATTAAGAAAAAAAGATAAGAATGGCTGTACTCATTTATAATTCCAATTAAATATTGTCTCATTGACTTGAGATATTGAAAACTGAATGGGGATTTACACAAGAATTTGTAATCAATTATTCAATCTTTGTTTTTGTGAGAGTGTTGTATTGTTTATGAAGTTTTAAATTGTGATGGATGAGCATGATACCTTGGGGTCATTGCCTGGCTTAGGAACAGTTTTTTTTTAAACGCTGCCACTCTCTAGGACAATCTCCTGTGTCGTCGGTGCGTTTACAAACATACACGTTCATTACATGTCACCCAGACCATAAAAACTTGAGGATTATTGTATCACACAATCTGTCGTTTCTGGTTGAAGAGTTGATCCGTGCGGGAATCGAATACTCTACACGTTGAGTCAGAGTGTTATTGGATTTTTAATAATGATCTTGTCAGCGACAGTACTGGCCCCTGACTTTAGTTATATACTTTACTAGCTTTTACCCGCGGCTTCGCTCGCGTCACAAAAGGATAAAAGTAGCCTATGTGACATATACCAATACACACAGCGCCATCTACACCAATCATTTCGTTTTCCCTCGAGAATATAATTTTTTCCGGGATAAAAAGTACCCTATTATTTAATCCAGACTTATAACTTTACGTCTGCAAAAATTGAAAGCAATCGGTTTAGTAGTTAAGGCGTGAAAGCAGAACAAACAAACAAACTCACTTTCCGATTTACAATATTAGTAAGGATTAGATACACAAAGTCACACATTTTTAAGGGAAGAAATTCAGACTCGGATTAAAAGACCTCAATATCACTGACGTTCTCGACTATCGAAGCCGAGACCACTTACTGCAGTCCACATGTAATAACAAACTTACAATTAGTGCTCAAAACACAGACACATTTCAAAATATCCCCCTAGCCGAGTGACACTTTTGAAGTAGTTACCTCATGAATGATATCTGTTGCAGGTTTGACCCACGAGTGCGGAGTCTTCGGCGCCATCAGCACCGGGGACTGGCCCACTCAGGTCGACATCCCACAGGTCATATGTCTAGGATTAGTCGCATTGCAACACAGGTAAGAATTATCTTTTATTTGCAATTAATTCCTCATACATCCATCCAGATATACCTAATCAACGACAATCTAGTTCTAACAGTATATATTTTTTTCTTATTTGGGAGCCAGCCAGGGAAACTAATAATGCTAGGGTTGCGGACAACCTTGTGGGTTTACGGGGCTCCGGCTCGAAGCAAGATCGGGGTTCTTTAGTTAGTAAGAATTTGACACTCCCTCTCGCGGTCTCGCCTTACCCAAGGCGGTTGAAGGCACTTAATCATCCCCCCCCCCAAATATCCCACCAACTTTCAATGGAATACCCTAAGTTCGTCATTATGGCATAGTTCAACAATGACATTTTATAGATCGGCTACACCTTAACTTGTTAACGAACAAAACACAACGACGAGAGGAAGTGCTGAATTTAATATATTATGTACCAAGAATTGTATGTGAATGTTTTTACTTACAATAATTACATGGTACAGGACAATAGTAACCCTTGTTTCACTGCTTAATATAATGTTTGTAGTAGGCTCATTTTGATAAGCCCCCTATGTATGTCTATTTCGAGAATTCGGGGGAGGACCCGTATTGGTACCTAGTTACCATAGTATAGTACTAGGCTTTGTATCGACTGTGAACATATTGTAGTACAATGCACCCTTTATGTAGGTACAGTGATATGAACTTTATTATTGAAGGAGTAACATTCACTTTTGATCATTAAAAAAGATAGGATATTTCTGCACTTTTATTTCCTCTGCCTATTAAACTGTCAAACACCAAGCGGTCACCGGTGACCGCAACCTATTGTTCTGTAATTGTGTCTACAAAACCGGTACTCGACGAGTTAAGGTCTAGAATTATTATTAACTAGCGACCCGCCCCGGCTTCGCCCGGGTGCAATATGTATATACATACAAACCTTCCTTAAGAATCACTCTATCTAATAAAAAAAACCGCATCAAAATCCGTTGCGTAGTTTTAAAGATTTAAGCATACATACGGACATACAGCGAAAGCGACTTTGTTTTATACTATGTATTGATATTTTTTCATCAAGAAATATTGTATGGTTAAAAATATTTTGAATTTCTCAGAGGACAAGAGTCAGCGGGTATCGTGACGTCAGAGGGTAAGAGTGCGCGCACGTTTAACACACACAAAGGAATGGGTCTCGTCAACAATATATTTAATGATGAAGCCATGAAGAAACTCAAAGGGAACCTTGGCATTGGACACACTAGGTGAGTTTGTACTCCATTTATTGTTTAATCTCGAATATAAAGAATGACTATTTGACTGAGAGCATTCAGCTTAGATGCTTTGGATCATTTCGGCCATAAAGTTAAAAGTCTATCATTCTGTTACACCTCACCAAAAAATAAGAGAACATGAGGTATTTTTTCTATCTCGCCTGGTGGTTAGCGATAATGCGGTCTACGATGGAGCACGTCGTCCCATAAGCAATCTATTCACTCGGGCCTTGAAGACTTCCAGGTCATAATCTGCTCTATCCGTGTCTTTATCAGTGGTTCTTTTATCAATTATTCATGATTTTTTATCCCCTAACACATTCCGTTGTATGTCCAGGTACTCGACATCGGCCGCGTCGGAGGAGGTGAACTGTCAGCCCTTCGTAGTCCACACCGCGCACGGGGCACTCGCCGTCGCTCACAACGGAGAACTTGTCAACTGCAGCAGTCTTAGGAAGATGGTAACTTGTTGTTTTTTTTCTATTCATAGGGGCACAAAGAAAAATAAAATCTGCTTTTCAGTCTGTTGAAAAGATTATAAATAATAATAATTTAAATTTATAATTTGCATAAAAATATTATCCCGTATAGTGTAGTGCAACCGTTTACAAAATGTTGTGCTTAGAAAATCTTTTAAAATACCCCTTTTGGGGGGAGGGATAAATCCCCGTTTTGAGGCGAGGGGAGTGTCAGACTCTTACCGACTAAAAACCACCCCGTTCCTACTTCTACTCTTCGAGCCAGAGCACCAACAGCCCGTTAACTCCTCCGCGGCTTTGAAATAATCTTATGAAATCAGTTAATAATACATATTAAATATTATGTCCAATTAATGTTATTATTATTTAATTCTAGGTGTTAGGTCGTGGAGTAGGTCTGTCAACTCACTCGGACTCAGAGCTGATCACACAAGCACTGTGCCTCAACCCACCCGAGGGGGAGACCAACGGACCCGACTGGCCTGCGCGTATTAACCATCTTATGAGGTAAACTTCACAGTACTAAATAAATAAATATTATTTATGTTCAGAGACAAAATGGGCGTATATCATTGACCTTTTATTTATAAGAGAGATCAAATTCGTTTTAATACCTACTCAAAATCCACCCAAATATAATTCAAAACGCAAAAAATAGTGGATTTCATCACTATTCAAAGAATTAATGTCTAAAGTCAAAGTCAAAATCATTTATTTCAATTAGACGGAAGGAAGGCACTTTTGAACGTCAACAACGAAAATTAAATAGGATAAAACAGGAATCATATTCTACGCGAAGTCGCGGGCAACAGCGAGTAGTTAATAATGTATCTTCATTATTTTCAGGCTGGCACCTCTAAGTTACTCTCTCGTTATAATGCTGAAGGACAAGATCTATGCAGTCCGCGACCCCTACGGTAATCGACCGCTATGTCTCGGCAAGATCCTGCCTCTTGGCTCCTCATGTAAGTCTAATAACATAATTATATGGACGGGGAACAGTATAATAATTCACATGGTAATAAAAAATGTATGAATGGGTTCTTAACAATTTTGTAAAGGTGGGATGATATTTTTTGTGAACCTGATTACGTTTTAACTAATACCAGATTTTCAAGTAGAAAAGGTTAAAGGCATGTAGTCTACTTGAATACAATAGTACTTCATTCATATCTTGTTAAGAATAACAACTTATAGATGAATTTTTGTTGTGTTTGCTGCAAAATAAGGAAGGATGCATGTAAGTACATGGGTGCACTGCATTGTGTTCCATTCTTCATGATTGATTGTATGATCACAACGCTACGTAGTAACGATGAAGACATTTTACCACTGATGAATTTATTTATTGCCTGCCTCATTGACCGAGTGGTTTCAAGTGCGATTCCGGGCAAAGTATTACTTGGATTTTAAAAAAAATCTCAGTAGTAGGTAGCATGGAGTCTGGATATGTGCCTGGTATATGGCAATAGGCTCACCCCCTATTACATGGGACTCATAACATAAATAGTAAAAGGTGGGTGTTACATTGTACAGTGGCATTAAGTGCCGTAATATGCACCTCTGCCTACCTCTTCGGGGATAAAAGGTGTGATTTATTTATTCTCACATGTACAAAATAATGTATCCATTCAGTAAAACAATTAATATTTTATTATGATTATGACACTGATGTTAATCCTATATTTTCTAAAGATACATTGTTTTGCACGAGTAACGAGTATAAAAAATTAAGCGCACTAAGCACCTTCGTATCTATGAAAATGACTCTTAACTTCAGAGACATAAGATGTAACTGAGTGCGCGTCCATATCTAACGGTGTCCACTAAACATTTCCAGATGTCTACAAACAGTCGTCGGCGCAGCATGCCGCGGGTAATGCATGACACATTTCATTATTACTTAACCATAGTTAATCATAATTATTCATACACCATTTTACATTATATGGGCATGACATACCTCAAAAAGAAATGCAAACAAACACACAAGACTTTTCCTGTTATAAAACCATGTATCCCTATGGATATAAAACTTATATAACAAAAATTATAAAAAAAAACAAAAAAATTCCACACTACCTATGTAGTGTGGAAATATTTACATTGCACTGTGCAATTTCAAAATCGAAAAACCCAATTATATTTTGCATTGATCCACCATTGTCTTCGTTTTGTTTGTATCTGTAATCTTGTCTACGCGTGTGTCGTGGCGTAATAAATCTTTCTATACGGGCCTTTAGCCAAACGCCACTTTAGCGCTTGATTATAGAGAGAGTAGAAATCAAAATGTATGGGGTCAAAGTGTCAAAAATTTGCGTCAATCCCATATAATTTGGTTTTCTATTCTACATGTAGACAAGCGCTAAATGGCATTTGGCTACAACTGCTGAATAGAAACTTAAGTTTTCCATATTATTATTTAGATCAATGATGTGGTACTTGCTAGGTTATTTAGTACTAAGTGCATTTTGTTTTTATAACTTTATCATTTCATTTACTTGTGTTTTTGATACTACATAATATAATGGGGTGACGCAATAGTTAATTTACATTACATTTGCATGATAATTATAATAGTAAGTGTACTATACGTTGCACAAATAATGTCATAACAAATGGGTGCACTGCACATATTGATTGAACTGTTGAACTAATTAAGAAAATTAATAATTGCAACATACAGTGGTGCTCATTATAATGTATGAAATAATACTAAACACAAAGTCATTATTAGTTACTTAAATTCTCTTTAGAAATTCATGGGATTTAATTTTTTAAATATAATTTAAACAAATATTAGAATAACAAAATGTGTTGCTCAGCTGCTTCCATAGCAGCAAAAAAGATAGTTTCCGATCTGTTGATGTTTTATGTAATTAATAATAGTTATATTTCCAACAGTTTTAATGAACGGTTGTGCGAAGAACGGCGTGGACGACAGAGCTGAAGGATGGGTGGTGTCCTCAGAGTCTTGTGGATTCCTCTCTATCGGTGAGTAAAGTAACATCTATGAATAGAAACAATCTACCACCAATGGGCAATGCATATGCTGAAAAGTTACATAATGCAACTTAATGCTCGCATGTATTAAGTATAATAACAAGAATTTACTTTAAAATATTTAATATACAGTCTGTGGCATTTGCTTAAATTTTTCATATTAATCGTTGGTTTTGTCCTCTTATAGGTGCTCGTTATGTCCGTGAAGTGTTGCCGGGAGAGATAATAGAAATGTCCCGGCATGGGATTAGAACAGTGGATGTAGTGGAGAGACCTGCCGACAAACAACAAGCTTTCTGCATATTTGAATACGTATACTTCGCGAGGGCAGACAGTATCTTTGAAGGTAAGGGTCATTTGTATTAAAAATAATCAATCATCTGCGCGATACATATAGTTAAAAATATTATGGAGATCATTCAAAATATTTTTGTAGTGAACTTTGGCATTAATTATAATGTTTTCGGCTTACTCACTTAATTGTTTGACGAGAAATGCTTCTCATGAATATGACTCTCTAGCATGGCTTGGAACTAGTCGAGTTCCTCATCAAACAGTTACGTGTTTCAATTTAGTACGTCTTTATAATATAAACTTTGCCATGTTTGTTTTTTATCTCAAATTGTTTTATGTGCACTAAAACCACAATGTATGAATGTGTCACTATTTTACTTTTACCGTTTAGAAACGAAATAGTTGAAATAACACAAAATAATCACAATAAAGTCTCTCAAAGAGCCTTGCAGAACCCGCCCTGTAGAAGTGTCTGTAGACAATCAAAGTACAGTGGCATTAAATCTGTACCTCCGCCTAAATCGGGGATAAAAGGCGTGATGTTGTGTTATGTTACAGTCAAAGTAGTTAGTAGGTAGTGATAATAGTAATTAAAATATTAACATTATACGTCTCCCACAGGTCAGATGGTATACTCAGCGCGCATGCAGTGCGGGCGCATGTTGGCGCGCGAGTCTGCCGTGGACGCCGACATCGTGTCGTCCGTGCCCGAGTCCGGCACTGCCGCCGCGCACGGATACGCGCGACAGGTACATAGTAATATAATCTCTCTTATCTATATTATTATGAGTAGCACGTCACAATTTCTCAACCACTCCTGTAATAATCTATGACCGAAACTATTAACCCTTTAACCGCCGACAACGTAATATTACGGTTTTCGAAAGCTGTGTCCGAATCGCCACATACGTACAATCACGTTATTTTATTAAAAATCTTCTTATAGTGCACAAACTCCATATAAAATGTGTCAATTTCAAGATGTAGGTTATAATCTTTATTGTTATGGATATTTCTCAATGTTTTGAGTGATAAATACTGTGAAATTTGAGGTTTAATTAAATTGTGGTCACCGTCTCCATTATCCGTATCGCCAATCACGTAATTTTACGAGTACTAGGGATGGGGCGAATTCGAAAAATACTTAATAGGTTGTCTAAGAACAAACAAGGCACTATAGATATTACTGTCACTATTTGCAATGAAAGTGTATACTTTCATTAGAAAATAACCATAGTGTTACTTTGATGCAAGTATTTGTACTAATTAAAATGTATTTAAGTTTAAAATTATTTAATATTTATAACAATAATATAAAAATTTCATAACGCAGAACCGCACTAGTGCGGACAATCGCCGGTCGCCATCACCGTAATATTACGTGCGGCCAAGGAGATTAAAGCGCTGTATTGTGAGTTGCCTTAGCGCCGTCACCGTAAAATCACGTTAAACATTTATCACTCAATGCAACTAGTGTTGTAAACCCTTTTTTGGGTTTTTGTTATTTCTCAAATAAATCAACACAGTCAAAACCAAATGTGTCCATTATGCAAAGTTAGAAGATGGTGACGCAAAGTTTTTGATCAGAGACCAAGTGATCCACGAAATGAATACTTTGCATCTTTAAAACCTTTTGAGCTGGAAACCGTACTGTCGGAAATCCGCTCAGAAGTTTACATGAAAATATTAAATTAAATACGACATGCTCGTGGAGCATCGTCACCGTCGCCAGCAGGAGAACGGAAGACGCCGTGTCCATTTCCCGAATACACATTTTCGTATACTTCGTTTGAAGATTGAAAATTTTTAGATTATTTATTAAGTAGGTAAATAAAACATTGATTTTAATTTTTTAATGATTAAAGAATATATGCATCGATATTAAGTGTTTCCAACACTGTTCCAACTTACACCTAAAGTGACGTGGCGTTGGAGGTAAGTTGAAAGTTCAGAATCTTGGCGGTTAAAGGGTTAATCTGGCTCAACAATCCAAATGTTTGAATCGGATATTAATTTCTGTCGTAAATGATTTGAGGCGTAGTGAATTTAATGTATGTTAAAAGTTGTGCAGCAATGAATCCCTCAAAAGAAACAACTATACATTAACTAATTGATGTTGTCGTTGTTAAAAATGTACAAAGTAATTAAATTCTTATATTCCCTTTCAGTCCGGTATCCCCTTCATGGAAGTCCTCTGCAAGAACCGTTACGTAGGTCGCACCTTCATCCAGCCGTCCACCCGCCTGCGTCAGCTCGGTGTTGCCAAGAAGTTCGGCGCACTCTCGGAGAACGTGCGAGGGAAGAGGATCGTACTCATTGACGACTCCATCGTCAGAGGAAACACTATCGGACCTATTATTAAGCTGCTGAGAGATGCGGGAGCTGCTGAGGTTAGTAAAATAAATGCATAACTTTAATTAAGTGTAGTACATAGTTTTTAGTACGTGAAAGTGAAAAAAAGTACATGTTATTGTGTTATCTAGTTTTCATCAATTGTAATGTCTACATAATAAATGCAAGCTTATTGCCATACAACAGGCTTTCTAATAATTATCATGTTACTGATAATAGATAAAATCGAAATCTTTATAATACTTTGTCTGATTTTAAGAATCCTAAATTAGAGAACCGTAAATCGATATTTCAGCTAGGGTGTTGGTGACTAAAAAGGTCTAAAAGTCTATCATATAACTAAGTATATTGTGTAAATATCCAGGTACACATAAGGATAGCATCTCCTCCACTGAAATACCCGTGCTACATGGGCATCAACATCCCCACGCGAGAGGAACTCATCGCCAACAAGATGGACACCTTCAAACTCGCTGAGCATGTTGGTAAGTAGACTAGGAAACTGATAGTTTCTATTATTATCTGACAACGGCGAAGCCAAAAGGAGAGTTTTGCCCTGCAGTACATAATAATGGCATGCGACCACGGCTATCCTCTAAGAAATTTTTATTGTTTGCTTTAGTAGGGTTTTAGTTCTTTTGTTCTATAATTTTCAAAGTTGGAGAGCCTCAAAGGCTCGTTTGAATTATCAAAATTTAACTGTCTATCAGTTTGTCCATTTGTGAAGATGATCATTGCTTGATTTTTTATTTTGTATACCGCACATAATCAGGACATATAAGATACGACGGTTTTGTTAAATCTTAACGATTTTACTACTTTTGGTACAAGGTTATAGAAAACATTATCCATAAGCCGGCTACTGTAAACGAATGCAAACTTAAGCTTTTGGTATAGAAACTGAAATATTTAATTACTAGTACAACTTTCAACAAGTAATCAAAAATTATCCTTATTCCCAGGTGCGGACAGTCTAGAATACTTAAGCGTAGAAGGCCTAGTTTCGGCAGTGCACTACAATATGAAGACTAACCCCAATGATGGACTCGGAGGTCACTGTACTGCCTGCCTCACTGGGGAGTACCCTGGCGGAGTGCCGGACGACGACTGGTGAATGTAAACGATCTGCTGCATGGTGATTGGTGATGAATGAATGGTGATTTGCACGATTCGATTTTCTTTTTATTTAGTTTTTCCGTGAATGTAGATGGTTTGTGCAGGCCAAATTTTGTTATAGTAACAAGTTATTTTATATTTTGTAAACATTTGTGAACAAGAATTAAAAAATATACTTTCGTTACTATTTAAAAAAATTATCACATAATTTCTAGAATTTGTACTCAAAACACATTTTGTTGTACAAAAATAAGCCTTAAAATCGATATTAATCGGTAGCCTTCAACTCTAAAAAAGCCGTTTATATTCACGTAAGAATAAAAGTATTGTATACAGAAGCTAAAAACAACATTGTGTTTGTTTGTAAATTGTAACTAAACGGAGTAAATCTTACAATAAAATTATTGTAAAAGATATTCTTTAAAGTACTATTTTGCATTTGTATGGGGTATATATGGAATGGAACATTTGTTTTAGCTTACAAAGTAGATTGTAATCTAATTTACTATAGGTACTTTATTTACTGAATATTTTTAAAATATATTTTTAAAATTGTCGAATATTATTATAAAATGTAATTTATGAAGTTTTGTTAGGGTTAGGTATGCCGTTAGTGCCTTATGTTTTTATTTTGGAGATGATTGTCGTAGATTTTTAATAATAGTGCAGTGTCATGAAGGATTTTCAATAACAATACAGAATAATGGTGGATTTTTCCTATACTTAAACTGTCAAACACCAAGCGGTCACCGGTGACCGCAACCTATTGTTCTATAATTGTGTCTATAATGACGGTACTCGACGAGTTAAAATTTATTGAAGAAAACTATACTTTCTCTTGAATATATTATAAGCTAAAATCGATTGGGTCATTCTCAAAAAAAAAACCTATTTAATAATTTTGATACTACATACTAAGATTTTTAATCAAATACGTTATTGGAAATTATTATAAATCTATGATGAAAAGTCTCCATCAAAAAAATCTTCAAACATTCTCAAATAATTGTGCATTTCATTCGAATTATACCTCGAATTTTAGTAATAAATTATATTTAGAGCAACGTCGTGCTGGCTACGACGATATTTTACTAATTTTAATTCTACACTATCAATTATATAGATTAAGTAGATATTTTTTTATTAAAAAGAAAAACTATATTTTTCAAAACATTCCTATGGATAGACACATATTCTTTATATTTTATGGAAAAACGTAAAATAAATCATAGTTTTTTTTTATTATTGGATTGATTTGTGTCCAAAATCTTAATCGATATTTTCGTAAGAATATATCAGTTTTCATGATAAAAATTCTCGAATCCAATTTATTTAATATAAGTAGTTAAATAAGATCTTTGTCCTTTTAACTATAAGTTAGATTATTGTTAAAACGGGGACCAATATATTTTGTTATTACAAAAAATTCGTCACATTTTTAAAAGACACGATGATACTGTAATTCTAAGACTATGTGTAATGTTCCTAAGCAAATAAAAAAAATTACAAAAAAAAACATACAGTGGACCTCACTAAACGTAGGAACTGAGGTCATATTGTCTAAGTACTGTTTTAAAAGAAAAAAAAAAGAAACTATCAATGTTAAAAAATTGTCGAGAATTGTAAGTGTACTTTACATAAATGTTTTTTTCTACACGCCTGTTGTTTTATTGAAATTAAATTACCCATACAAATATTAAAACTTTCATCAGACATACTAAATTTATTATTATGTTTTTGGCTTACTCACGTAACTGTTTGACGAGGAACTCGACTAGTTTTAACCCAGGCTAGAGGTTCATACTCAGGAGCAACATTCCGCGACCCGCGACGCGGCGACGCGGCGATGAACACATAATAATCTATATATCTATATATAAATAAAAATGAATTTACGTTCGTTAGTCTCGCTAAAACTCTAGAACGGCTGAACCGATTTGGTTAATTTTGGTCTTGAAATGTTCGTAAAAGTCCAGGGAAGGTATGTACAAAATGTGAGAAAAAAATTTAGGCTGTATGAAGTTTGCCGGGTCAGCTGTTAGTTATACAGTTAGACCTTCCTTGAGGTTAAGAAAATGCCATTACAAAATCAAAGATAATTAAGTTTCTAAATTCAAATCTAAAGACGCTCGTATATTTGAATTATTTCGATATTTGAATCAAAGTTCTGTAGAAAAAGACAGTAGTTACCCAAGTGTCGCATCGCAGCAAGACAATTTGACAAATATTATAAAAACTGTAGTTTATACGGACATTACGTGTTTGTACAAGTTTGCGTATGAAACTTTTGTGAAGTCGACCTAATTGAGTACTGATAGTGTTGTATACAGCTTTTATTGTTACTGCAATGTAACAGGAGGTCTGTGAGAAAATGTCTGCAAATGGAGCTAAATGGCATGGTAAGTTCTAAAGCATGATTTATACGTTCAGGTTTTTGCATTATAGATATGTATGTAATAGCGTAGTACACAGTATGAAAGTGTAATAGGGTAGACCGTAAGTTAGATAATGAAAAAATATTAGACTCGTATTTTTTTTGTCGTATAAGAAAACAATACTTAGATAAAACGGAGTTAAGTATAGGAGTGGGAGGTCGTTACGTCACGCGACCCTATAAAATATAGTAAATCGTGACGCCACACGATATTTCAAATCAATATAGGTATATTCGAAATGTAAAAAAAGAAAACATGTCTTTTTTTTAAGAGGGGAAAATCATCGAATGGCTGCTCTCGCCTGGGTGAGGCGGGAGGGAGTGTCAGACTCTTACTGACTAAATATCACCCCGTTCCTTCTCCTGCACGTCGAGCCGGAGCCCCGGTAACCCGTTAGGTTCTCCGCGATTCCGAAACATACATGTCTAATGTTTTAAAATAATCTACCAGACGGACATTAAAATAAAATTTAGGAAACTACCCTATTGAGTGATTTATTATTTACATTTCTTAGGTAAAAATAATACACATGAAATACGCAATTCAACAATTTTATTTACAATATGTTTAAAAAAGGAACATGTTTGGTACTTGTCTATACAACTTTGTGTAAGTTAAATTTCACAACTCACAATAAAATGCGACTTTATGCCGTTATAAATAAGGGTGATTTTCCCAATGTTTACAAACTATTACAATTATTATTGTACATTTGCGCTATAATTTCATGGACTCGATAATTGTGTGACAAAGTAACGAAACTATTTGAACTTATTGCTGTTTGTAGCGATATAAATATTTAATTTAGTTTGTAATAATTTACCATGTATTATACAGCCATATATATATATACATACATATTATTTAGCTTCGCCCTCACAAATATTGTCAATCAATCCCTTATACATAATTTTTATACAAATTGATTTCGGATTCAATCGATCATCAGTCTACCAAAAGTTGATATAAATAATTCGGATTGTCACTAAATAAATAAACACTATAAATCGAGGCTCCATAAATTTATCCAGAGCAGCAGGACGATTATGGCTTTCAAAAATTTAAGTTCAACTTGAAAATAAGTATTGAAATTTTTAGATGATTTTTTCGCATCTGACATTAAAATATTTAAAGGTTGTTAATTAACTGGAATGACCAATTTTATTAATTAATGGCAACTTTTCCTACATTTTTTTAGGGTTAACAAAGCTATATTCAAAACATTAACAAATCTTATTTAAAGTTGTTCCAATCACTAAGTTTCGGCTGGAATTAATAATAAATTAATTTCAATAATCATACATTTTGACGTTAAATGAACAGAAAAAAAAATACAGTCCTTCAATTGAGAACCTCCTCCTTTTTTCTGAAGTCGGTTGAAAATAGATGTCTTCTTACGCGAGATATTTTTTAACTGACTTCAAAAAAGAAGTTTGCTTCTGTGTTTGTGCGCAATTATCTCGCGATTGGCTGATCAGATTTTGATGCGGCTTTCAGAAAAGTGTTTGTTATATTTTTACAGGTTTTAGTATATTAATTAACCGACTTCAAAAAAAAGAGGGGGCTGAAGTCGGTTTTTTACGTATTTATAATTTTTTTTAAGCTTTTATGTACACATAAAAAATAATGGTACTTACATAAGGCGGACATTAATGCCATAGTTTTTTTTAAACTTTGCCCCACATTACGATATTCGACTGTGTCGTGGGTGCGTTTACAATCATTCAAGTTTACGTTCACAATGACACCCACACCAGAAACTGCAATTTGTGGATTACACAAAGTTTTGCTCCGTGCAGGAATCGAACCCGCGACACGTTGCACGGCAGCCGGTTGCCCAGCGCCACCGCACCAACCGTGCAGTCGTCACCAATAGTGATATTGTATGGCAGATACCAGTCGCACTATGAAGAACTGACGAAATTCAGATGAACATTTCAGTCAGTACAGAATAAAATAAGAGAATGAAGTTGATTGGGTCAATTTTAAATAAAATAAGTTATATAAAGATTCAAAAGTCACCGTTTTAACTAGGTATTTTCATCTAGTCTAGGTCTGTGTAGTCCTAAAACCGCCTTGTGAACCAGTCTAGGCTTTTTAGGAGTAGAAAACAAGTAAGTTACTTAATGCCAAGTGATTTTCTTCCATGGACACTCGCAACACTCAACGACAAGTTCGTTGCCAGCCTTTAAAAACAAAAGGCTATAAGTTAAAGGGTATGTTTGCCAACAATAGCCTCAATATCGGCTACTTCTTTGACACAGTCTTCTGTCAACACTACTGGCTCTTTATCAGTGATGAGTACGTCATCTTCCACGCGGATGCCGATGCCTCTGAACTCTTTGGGAACTGTCGTGTCGTCTGGTCTGATGTAGATTCCTGGAATTATAAAGTTTAATATTTTGACTGCCTCGTTGGCTGAGTGGTCGCAAGTGCGACTGCCGTCAAGGGGTCACGGGTTCGATTCCCCGGTCAGGCAAAGTTACCGGGATTATAAAAGAAAAAATCTCAGTAGTAGCACGTAGTCTGGAATTGTGCCCGGCATATGGCGATAGGCTCACTCCCTATTACATGGGACTCATAACATAAATAGCGAAAAGTCGGTGTTACATTGTACAGTGGCATTAAGTGCCGTAATGTGTACCTCTGCCTACCCCCTTAGGGATAAAAGACGTGATGTAATATTATGCCATCTTCCTAATTTTGTTGTAACTGCTATGAAAGCAGCAACATGAGTGCCACAACGTTCTCTTACTTTACGAACTTTTGGACCTTAATGAGTTTATCACTCGTGTTTATTAGAGGTACATTGTTGCTTCTCACACCGCTCCTTTTACAGGAGAGAACAAGATCTTGTTTATGAATCAAAGCAAAAAAGGAAATTAACCAAAAATAGCGGGTTACTTACGTGAAAATACTGAAAAAGGCTCTACTAGTTTCGAACCACAGAGGGGTTCTTCCTCATGAGCAGCGTGCGTCGGCGATGTCACGCAGCCTACGAAACTAGTAGAGCTTTTCTCAGTACATTCACGTGAGTAACCCGCGATTTTTAGTTAATTCAGTATGTCATATGGGTCACGATAGTTATTATAAAAACAAAATTAATCTATATATATAAAAGAAAGTCGTGTTAGTTACACTATTTATAACTCAAGAACGACTATATCGATTTGGATGAAAATTGGTGGGGAGGTAGCTTAGAACCAGGAGACGGACATAGGATACTTTTTACCCAATACTTTTTTTTACTTACCGAAAATCAAGAAAGGGTACGGGAAATATTGGGATTGCGCGTACGAAGTCGCGGGCAGAAGCTAGTTAAGTATAAAGAGCTTTAACAGTAAAGGCATAATGATGATAGTTTAGTACCAGGTTCCACAGTGACGACCATGTTGGTGCAGACGGGGATGTTCCGTCGCACGAGCGGCGCGTCGTGTACGTCGAGCCCGAGGTAGTGCGACACGTGGTGCGGACACAGGCGGTACGCGCGCTGTGACATACGGACGCCGTCACTTGTGGGATCGTCAATAGACAGTACAGTCATTGCAAAGGAGGTGTTAATCATTATTGACAGTATTGCCATAAAGAAAAATCGGTTAAAAATCATTGAATGTAGAGTGTAAACAAAAGATATTCCTCATAGGAAATCGACGTGAAACAAGTGCATTGTTTCTTCAAGTCTTATTGAGTGGGGTTACCGGAGGCCCAACTACCTCAATCCCCGAATCACCAACAATCCTTAAATTACTAAAAGTCGTCAACGCACTTGTAACGCCTACGTCGATTGCTTACCATCAGGTGATCCGTTTAATCATTTACCAGCTGCTTACATAAAACAGATTTCACAGAATTTTAGAGATGCCATCAGGTGATTCGTCAACTTGATTACCCATCCCATAAAAAATTTAGAATAGGAAAACTTAACCTTTTACCATCTCTTATGAGAAAATTAAGATGAATAGAGATAACCCCTCACCGCGAACAGTTCTTGTCCCTCCAATGTCTTAGATATGATCCCCTCCTCCTTCAGGTGCTTGCCCAGCAACCGACACATGCTGTCGAACAACTTGTCCAGCGCTGGACGCTGCTCGCCCACCAACTCTATTAGACGTTTCTGGAAAATAGAGTTCGGTTTAAAATAGGTTAATAATAATACGGAGGAGTCACACTTCGACCGGAGTAACACCACGGCCTCACAGAAAACTGGCGTAAAACAACGCTAGTATTAAGTAAAATCGCGGGTTACTCACGTGAATATACTGAGAAAAGCTCTACTAGTTTCGAACCACAGAGGGGTTCTTCCTCATGAGCAGCGTGCGCGGTCGCCGCGACCGCGAGTAGAGATTTTTTCAATATATTCACGTGAGTAACCCGCGTTTTTACTTAATTTAGTATGTCTCACGATAGTTATTATAAAAATGCTAGTATTACGTTTCATCGTATGAGTGAGGCCATCGGAGACCAGCCGAGTTGCAAGTACGCTGCACATATTGTAGAGGGAGCTCTAAAATTTGCAGTGTTATTGTAATAGGGATGATGACACTGTATGAAAATTAAAAATATAATTAGTCCGTCGGTTAAGTAATGCAAAAATTATTAGACACGTATTTTTATATTTTGTCGTATAAGAAAACAATGCTTAGATAAAACGAATAAAAGTTTAGGAATGGGAGGTAACTACGTTTGTCAGTCAGAGTATAAATCGTACTCAAAAGTGACGTCATGCGATATTACAAATCAATATATCTTCGAAACTATTCATTTGCGTAAGAAAATAAAAAATACGTGTCTAATGTTTTTAAATAATCTACCAGCCTATTGATGATGTCGCGGAGAACCTAACGGGTAACCGGCGGGCTCCGGCTCGACGTGCAGGAGAAGGAACGGGGTGGTCTTTAGTCAGTAAGAGTCTGACACTCCCTCCCGCCTCACCCAGGCGGGCGCAGTCATTTGATGATTTTCCCCCCTTAAAAAAACCCTATTGATGATTGGTGTCCGTCTATATCACAAAGGAATTACCTGTACAGTGAGCACGAGTTCGTATAGTATCCGGTGGTGCTTGGAGAATTTCCCCGCCACGGGCCACGTGCGAGATATGTCCGAGTTGTACATCCAGTGCTGGCTGCCTGCAACATACTACTTGTTCAGCCCGTTGAATATCATCCCCTAAATTTGTCAAACTCAAAGTCAAACTCAAACTCAAAAGCATTTATTTCAATTAAACCATAATTTGGTACTTTTGAAACGTCAACAAATATGAAATATATAATGGTCTGTCAGTCTGTCCGTCAGTGAAGCTAGGCGCTCGTTCCAAAATGTCGATTCGAGTGGAGAAGAACGAGCAAGAAACTCCAATCGTTACTCTTTTTAAAAAAAAGTCTGTTTTACATTGCTCTGATACATATTCCAATATTGTACACACATGTGAGAATAATGTCCATATATAAAAGTAGTCTCTATACATTGGAAATAAGGTCTATAATGTAGTAGAGGAGAACTGTTACTGGTGAACGCTTGGGGATATATGGGAGATAGAAACCATCGACTTATGGCTAAAAGAACTGATCTCAGTTGTCTATGGATCAATGTGTATGAAAGTTTTTGTCAGAAATGCAATATTACATAACATAACATCACGCCTTTTATCCTCGAAGGGGTAGCCAGAGCTGCACATTACGGCACTTAATGCCACTGTACAATGTAACACCCAGTTTTCACTGTTTATGTTATGAGTCCCATGTAATAGGGGGTGAGCTTATTGCCATATACGGAGCACATTTCCAGACTCCGTGCTACTACTGGGATTTACAAAAAACCCAGTAATACTTTGAACGACCCGGGAATCGAACCCGAGACGAGACCCCTTGCCAGCATTCGCACTTGCGACCACTCGGCCTATGAGGCAGGCCTGAATTTTTTAAGAAATTCAATATTGGTAATGTTAAAATCGATCTTAATCCACACAAATAAGATTGATAATGTTTATTACCTAATTTCGGGTATTGAATTCACCATTGGCATAGTTATACTTGCTTAAATGTCAGCCCATGTTCAACTTTCTTTTCGTTTATTATCAAATTTTTCTGAATGCTTATTTTAAATATTTAATTCAGAATCAATACTAATAACACTTAATTATGTAGGTGTGGTCAAAGTCAAAGTCAAAGTATTTATTTCAATTAAACCATAGTTTGGTACTTTTGAAACTGACTGCTTGGGGATTCGCCAGTTACCTAAGATAAGGTATATGATGATGAGGTATGAGAATTACGTCTATACCTTACCAGAGTCAACCAATATCATCTCATTAGCGTTGAGCAGTTGGTTGTTGGCCACGTAGTGTATGTGTGTAGCTCGGGCTCCGCCGGCCACGACGGGCGGGAAGGCGAGGTGCTCCGCCCCGCCCTGCTTGCACGAGTATTCCAGCACGGCGTTCACCATGTGCTCGGATATACCTGGTGATTAAACAAAATTGGATATGAATAATATAAAATTGACTGCCTCGTTGGCTGAGTGGTCGCAAGTGCAGCTGCTGGGCAAGAGGTCTCGGATTCGATTCCCTGGTCAGGCAAAGTATAACAGGGTTTTTAAAATAACCTCAGTATGGAGTCTAGAATTATGCCCGGTATATATGGTAAAAATAGGCCCTATTACATGGGACTCATAACATAACTGTCAAACACCGCGAGGATACCGGTGACCGCAACCTATTGTTCTATAATTGTGTCTATAATGACGGTACCTACTTGATGAGTTAATAGTAAAAATGTGGGTGTTACATTGTACAGTGGCATTAAGTGCCGTAATGTGCACCTCTGCCTACAACATGTTATGTTAATAAAAAACTTCCTTTCACTAAAAATGTTAGTCGCTGATTTTCTCTAGGCCCCGACGGCACTAGGACAGAACCGCTGTGGTTTTTAACCGCGTGACCGCGACTAAGAAACCGAATACAATTAGCCGCAGTCGTGCCGATTTTCATTACAATTAAATGTTACCAGTTTCGCTCTTGTACATTTTAAGTAGATAATAATTTGCCATAGGAGATTAAACAATTATCTAAGTTTTGTAATAGACCTTTGATCGAGTTGCATTTAGCATGGTCACAAGTAACTATCTTTCCTCCTTGACTTTGACCAGTGTGGAAAAAAAAATTAACCTAAAAATACACAGTTTCAACTCACCTGGCTTCGTACAAGCCATAGCCATATTAATGGACTGCGACCCAATATAACAGGTTTCCTTCATGAGCTCAATCTCCGCCGGGGACTTTATGACCCTCATAAAGTGTAAGGCTCGCTTAGGGTCAGAGAGGGTGACATTGATATCTCCTCTGAGGGTCCCTCTGACCGCGTTGTGTATGTCAGGGTTGGCAGGCTCCTCATTATGGTACCAAAGTACTGCCGGCTTTGAATTTGTGGTGAGTCTGTAACAAATACTACCTTTTTAAATCCTTATGTTTGGTTTGTTGGTGTTTAGATGGTAGGAGTTGGGGGATGTTGAGTCTTTTTAGTAGTATGGGTGTGTTTTGTAGGTTTATTTGTACTTATATACTACCTGTAAGTGAATAGTTAATTATTATTCCCATTTCCGCAATTCCGAAAAATCGTCACTGCTGACTGTCATTACGTCAGTCATGACTATGGGTCCCTGTCGCAGCTCGAAACTAATCGATCTCCCTCGTTGAAAAGTTCCATGAGCAACGTAAGCCGTAGAATATAATGAAGTATATTTTGTTAAGTTTAATACATTTTAATATTTAAGACTAAATGGGCACTTACTTATTTAAATACGTGTTGAAGTTCTCGACGGGTCGACATTCATCCATGCAGAACAGTCGAGCTGCGGCTGTGCATCCCGTCCGAGGCCCCTCCCACAACTCTGCATGTGCGTCCTTTTCGTGTACGAATAATATGCTCTGGGAAGAAAAGAGATAGATATAATTTGGATAGTAGATCGTAGAGCGTAGATCTACGCGAGACAATGCATTTTGTATTGTGTCTCATATATCGACAGGCAAGAAGTTAATAAATGAAAAATTCAATATCAGATTCAAGAATTGGGTAGTACGCCAGGGTATCAAAATTAAAAATCTAATTAGTCCGTCGGTTAGATGATGAAAAAATATTAGACACGTATTTTTTTATTTTCTCGTATTAAGTTGCAATACTTAGATAAAATTGCGCTAAGTTTAGTGGGAGGTCGTTACGTCATAACGTGCTACAAAATGTGGCACGCTGTGACGTCACACGATATTTCAAATTAATATATCGTCGAAAGTATTTAATTTTGTGAGAAAAGATAAAATACGTGTCTAAGTTTTTAAATTATTGTACCAGATGGACATTAAAATAAAATTTAGGAAATGCTGAAAAAGAGTCTGCTGTAATTTATTACTATTATTACTTGATATAATTTTATATTAACTTAGATAAAAAAATAAAGTTAAAAATTAATGATGTCAAAATAACTTTTTGTTATCTACATATTTTGAAACAGACAAAATAAATTATATCAACTAGAAACAGCCCTCAATTATTTCAACTTTATTTGCATAATAATATCCACAAGATAAAAGAATTCTGAACAACCTTACAAAACAACTAAGTGAAGCAATTCAGAATTACAAAGACGAATCAATGAATAGTTATCTACAACAACTAACCAGCCATCGCACGACAGATTACTCTCTGTGGAAATCTATGAAAAGCTTAAAAAAGCCAATTCTGCACATTCCCCCTATCAAAGATATTAACGAGCGGTGGGCAATAAGCAACGAGCAAAAAGCTATAAGGTTTGCAAAACATCTAGAACTCATTTTTGAGCCAAATGAAGAGCATGAAGATAGCGACTTATTAAATGAAACATCAAATAATGATGAGCAAGAAATAAAATTCGTAACACCTAGAGAAGTGTACAACGAAATCAACCGCCTTAGATTAAAGAAATCACCTGGTTACGATCTTATTACTGCAGAAGTTCTTAAAAACCTCCCACGTAAAGCCATCGTAAAAGTTACGACTCATATCAATGCAACGTTAAGACTTCAGTATGTACCTGATCAGTGGAAAGTTGCCGAAGTTATAATGATACCAAAACCTGGTAAACCACCTCACGAAACAACATCGTATAGGCCGATCTCGCTGCTACCGACAATGTCAAAATTATTTGAAAAGCTTCTTTTAAAAAGACTAAAACCCATCATAGAAGAAAGAAATTTGATCCCTGACTACCAATTTGGTTTTAGGGAAAAACATTCGACTATAGATCAAGTACACAGGATTACCAACATTATTGAAAAGGCTCTAGAAGAAAAAAAAGTTTGCTCCACGATCTTCCTGGATGTAGCGCAAGCATTCGATAAGGTATGGCACAAAGGCCTTATTTACAAATTAAAAAACATGCTCCCTAAGCAATTTGCTGACATCTTAGAGTCTTATCTATCACAGCGTATGTTTAGAGTAAGACATGGTGATGCATATTCAGGACTCAAACCAATAAAAGCTGGAGTACCGCAAGGAAGCGTCCTAGGTCCCGTCTTGTACTTATTGTACACTTGCGATATTCCTGAATTAGAAAACAATACCATTGCCACATTTGCAGACGACACAGCTATTATGGCCATAGGTGCCACTCAAGAAGAAGCAGTGGAAAAAGTTCAAACAGCCGTCAATATCATTTTTGACTGGACAAAAAAATGGCGTGTGAAACTAAATGAATCAAAATCTGTTCACATAGACTTCACAAACAAAAGGACAAATTACCACCCGGTAAACATAAATGGCCATGTAATACCATACGAAAATACAGCCAAATACCTAGGCATGACATTAGACGTAAAGCTTCGCTGGAAAGTTCATGTCAAAAAGAAACGCGACGAGCTAGATCTACGCTACAAGTCGATGTACTGGCTGATAGGAAAAAATTCTTCGCTGTCAGTGCACAACAAAGTTCTTTTATATAAACAAGTCCTCATGCCTGTATGGACTTATGGTATTCAGCTTTGGGGCTGTACCAAACAAAGCAATATCAAAATTATACAGCGTTTTCAAAACAAAGTACTCAGAGGAATCGTCAATGCGCCCTGGTACATTCGAAATGACGACCTTCATCGGGACCTCAAAGTAGACCTCGTCATAGATATAATTAAAAAGTGTGCAGAAGCCCATGAGCGAAGGCTTCACCACCATGTGAACATCGAGGCTATCCAGCTCCTCGACAACACGGACATAGTGAGAAGGCTAAAAAGGACAAAACCTTTTGAGTTAACATAGTGAAGTGTTAGTGTAAAGTAGTGAGTGCTACCGGCAAAGAACACAATAACAAAGTGTCTTCCCCTTAATAGAGACAATAAGAAAAGTGTTAATGGACACATTCTTAGTTATACTTTCCTAGCAAATTAAGACAAAATAGAATTACTTATTAGCATTAAAGCTAGATTGTAATTTTTTTATGATGTTACCGCATGAGGTCACATCATATAAACAAAAAAAAAAAAAAAAAATCCAAAAAAAAAAAAAAAAAAAAAAACTAGAAACAGCCCTCAATTATTTCAACTTTATTTGCATCATACCTTAAACTCGTCTGTTTGTGCAGGTTTCATTAACACTAATATTGCAGAAGGTTCTAAGCACCCAGTGAGGTAGAAGAAGTCAGAGTGCTGTCTGAATACATATGGGATTTTATCAGACATGTACTGTTTGCGAGCGGCTGGTATTACTACCTGAAATAAATAAATATTATTGATATAATAGTGAGATTAATTCCAAAATAATAGAAAAATACATTTAGTAAAAATATTTTGGGGCTTTAGCTTGGGCGAAGAAATAAATTTTAAGACAAAAACATTTCAATAAAAAAATCACCAAAAATTAAATAAAATGCTTACAATGTGAGTATTGTGCATATTTTCAGATTCTGCAACTAATTTCGCAACAAGAGTTTCTCGCCTTTTTTTGTATTCAGCCTGTGTGACGCCCCATGTCAAATGTTCTTCTTTTATTAAATGTGGATGTGTGTGATATGTTGGCTGACCGAAAGTACCTTTAGGAATTACAAAAGGTATTTTATTTTTCTCAATTGTAGGGGTCTCTTGTGCACTCATACATCTTATTGTGTCTTGAAAATGTGACTGTCTGAATAATTTCCTTCGCTCTTTGCTTGCTGTAATAAAAAAAAAATAGAGTTAGTGTCCATATGTCTTATTTTATAAAATTAAAAAATGATGCAGAAATGAAATAAAATTGTAGTGATATAAAATACCTACGATATCCTTATTTGTGAATAATAAACAAAAATTATCGTTTATCAATTTATCATGCATGATTTATAACATAAACAACATCAAAAAATATATTTTGTAATCAACTTACTTTACATTTGCTAAGAATGGTTTAAAATTTATTTTAATTTGAAATTAAATTGATTAGTTTGACGTGAAGATAAATAATAATTATCGTCTTCCAAACCCATCGAAATTAATAATTTTAATAAATTATTCCTGCTAAGAAATAAAGATAAACATAACCTATATTTTAATAAGTATAACTTACCAGTATTTCCAACAAGCTTTCTCAGTTGCTGCATTTTGTATTAATTTAGTAAATGGAAGATAGATTTGATTTTATAATCCAATATCACGTTTTAAAAAAATATTTAGGTCACAGCAAAACAAGACAAATCTGATATTTGACAGTGACAGTAACCGCAAACAGATGTGACTTTGACATCGAATGACAGTCTAATAATGTTGCAGTGGTATAACTAAATTACTACTTATTTAGTCATGAAGTCTCAGATAAATAATAAATTTAAATTACACATTGTACAAGATTTTGTAGAATGTCACCATCATCAAAGTTTATTCATTTTTTAATAATGAAACTAATATACTAGCAGTCCTATAAAGCGTGTTCCTTTTAAAAAGGCCGGCAACGTATGTACTTGTGAGTCTCGTGACCTTCATTCTTCTTTTTGTTTTGTTTACTTCACGAAAGTATAAACAAAATTAATAAAAAATATAAAAATTTAATTTTTATTTTGGTTAGTTCAAAATGTAGTTTCATGTAGTTAAACTGGATTTTCTACCATTTTTGTAGCTCAGAAGGTATTATGTGAGTGGCTACACCAAACATTCCAATTTACGCATATTTGTTTGGTTTGCGCGGTACGATTTTTTTCGCAATAGTTATAATCAAAAAGTTTTTATCAGATTCCACTTGTTAACATTTTTTCACCGTTGCGCGTTGTTACGGTAATGACGTTAATCGTTATGTGTTAACGTTATAATTGTTAGAACAATTGATGCGCATAGAAAGTTTAATTCCGACGAAAAGCCGATTGCTTAAACGGTGTTGTGAAAATGGAAAGTATTTTCTTTAGAAATTCAATGTTAGAAATTATGAAAAACAGCATCGTCGTTACCTATTTGAAACTATGCGTATTAATTTATGTTTCTTTATGTCTCCTTTTAAATTAACATCGGGCTGATGGAGTGGATCTTTTATTTTATTCGAAAGTTAAAATATTAGGTGCATTATTTCATTTATTTGTTTATTTCCGTATTTTTTTCATATTTCTCTAATAACTATTTATTACATAAGTTGGCAGGTACCTAACTACCTATGAGTAAAGTACAAAATAAATAGATACATTAATTTTATCTCATACGAAGTTATATTTAAACTAGGTAAGTACTAGCTACTTTGAACATACAACTTGGACCGTTCGATCGCAGTTTTTCATTTAGTGTGTCCAAGCATCTTGCATAACGGAAGGACATTTCCTAATTTTTCCTTCTAAGAAGGTCATTAATTTTGGGGACACGTCTCAAAAAGGAAAAGAGGTTCTATTGCTAGGCTCTGTGGGCAGGAAGGTCATGCTACGTTCACTGGGCACGTCTCGTGAGGCAGGCAGTCAGCGCGGAACGAGCGGCGCGTACGCACGTCGCGGCTTCACGCAGTCGGAATACGATCGCGGGACCCATATTGTGTCGTAAACTGTCAATCGTGCCCGTTACAATAGTGTTTCATAACAGTTCAGTGATTTGTTTTATTTTAAAGGACATCCCACACCAACGACTCTGCAAAGAGGTTTGTTTATTTTTCTAATTTGCAGAGTGCCCTCTCTGTCTAGTTTTGTGGTCTAGTATAAGTCGATAGTAAGTAGTCAATAAATGGTAGGAGTTCGGTTCCATTCGCGAGTTCATTTGCATCGTTTTGTAAGGTAATGAATGAGTTGTTACGGTCCGTTGCAAGGATTACTTAACCCGACCTCGTAGAGCTTCAAAATTATAACATTTTGACGTAGGATTGGTAGATGCGTGCGTTTGATTGCGCACAAGTGGGACTATTTCTGCCCGCAGCTATTTCGTTTTGTTATTTAAGTTATGTAGTTGCGTGTCTAAGTAAATATTTGTTGTTTTTTTGTTTTTGAATACTTAATCGGTGTAATACCAAGGTCGTTGCTTAAGTTTACAAATAGAAGTTGTTACGATTAAAGAATAAATTTTTGGGAACCGATTTTCCAATTAGATTTTGAAGAGTCCAATACTTATTTACCTATTACATAAGAAAGGGAAAGTATTGTTTTATGAATTATTGCGAAAATAATAATAAAGTTAAGTCTAAATAAAATCCTGATAAAGCTCCCGTGATTTATGGATAACCTATCTTATTAAATTGCGTACTTTCGTTGATTTGTAACAAACAGCTTTAGTACTTGACAAGCAATGTAAATTGAGATTTTAAATATCTGTGGTATGATGTCATTTTCAACGAAATCGTATTATTACATATAATTTAATTGTTTCGACTCACAAATTAATTCTGAAGGTGAAATAGGTAGGTGTTGGTTACGGAAATGAAAACAAAATGTCAAGACAATAATATATTCCATATATGTTTTTATAACGCGAAAAGACCATTTAGAAAATATGAAAACACCTGCTAAATATTAGATGGTACGTACATAATTATTACATACTTAATATTTAAAAAAATAAAAAATTCAATCTATTTAAACTACTTACATATATACAATAATCTATGGCAGTCTCCATAGACTAAGCTTCCCGCCATAAAGTAAGATTAAATTGGCAGCAAAGCCGACTAGCTCATAAAGCCTTCAGTAATTCGTAATTTAGTTTTATTATATTTTATTCTATGTCTAGTCATTCTTGAGATACATAAGTTGCCGATGTGTTTATTCCAGAGCACGTCCTACCCAATTATCTTGGTAATTACTTTCCGACATTAGACGCAATGACTTATGTTTAGAAATAGTTTTATTGTTTAAAGTTTGTGTGTCAGTCTTTTTTTATTATTTCTTCTCTTGGTAACTATACTTGGTAAATATAGTTTTTATTTAAGGGTTAAGAAAAAATATCTTTCAGTTATAAATTCCCGTTTGAAGTTTACCCTTATTTCAATACTTCATTCGTTCTCATTCCGTTCGTTGGTTTACTGGTTTTAATTCAGGAGTTTATTTTGGTCGTTTTCCTTCTATAAGTTACTTATGAAGTGAACTTGACTTATCAGAAAACAAGCAAGAAAAGGAAACCAGGAAAAAGGAAGTCTGTAATTAAAATGAGATAAACAACAATTTTTACGTAAAGCGCTTCACACAAGACATACGACGATTATGTTTATTAATTCATCCTTTATTGAAGAGGTAACAATATTTGTACAATGTCAACTCAAGATCGTTACTTACAATATTAATTCAATTTACATTATTCAATTTCCAGTGAAGCGGATTGTGTCCTAGGTCACCTTTGTACCTGCTTTATTCAATAAGAAGACGGTACCTAAGTACCTACTAATTATATAATTATTATCTTTTCATTTCTTGATAATAATAAAAAGATTCGCTTATTATGTGTAGGTTGTATTCAAAAGACGTTTGCTTTTTAATCTCGCATAACAATATTATGAGAAAAGAAAAGTGAATTCCTAATTAATTAGCTATTTATAATAATATTAGGTACTTTCAATTATTTTATTTGAATCAGTTTTAAGTGTCCGTGTTTTCGAGTTTTAGTAGGACAAATGTTATTTCGTTTTCAAATATAGGCAAGCAGAATTTTGAAAATGTCCTACAGCATGTATAACGCCTTTTACTTTACAAAAGCGCCATTTTATGAGAATTAGCGTGCGCGGTGCGCATGCGTTTATCTTGCCCTTTCTACCGTTTCGTGGACTTTTAATGGATTTGACATGGCGTTAGATACAGTTATCTAAATTCTTTGTGAAACTGCTAGTTTTTTTAAATAGATGATTTGAATTTAAATTCTGGAAAAGTAATGTCCATAGATTAAGAAGGTAAAAATAAAATGGTTCCCGAACGTACTTAGACCTTTTTGGATCATGTTTCTCATGAAGGTAATGATATTTAATTATGCGATTTACAGTAAGTGAGTATTTAGTTGCCATTTACAACGCTCGCTAAGTGCAATCTCAATTAATATGTAGATGGTGTATATTCCAGCTATTTAGATGCAAATTGATGGTCTACGGAAGATCAAGTCGTTGCGTGGTTGTTATTTAAAAACATTTCAATCAAATCAGAGTACTATGTTGAGCCGTTGATCATCATTATCACCTTCAAAACCCGTATGTACTTCGATATTTTATACAAAAAATAACTCAGCTTAAGTGACTAATATTAAAACTGAAATGGCGATGTAAATGGTCTCTTTTCCGAACCAAATGTCTGATTTTTATTGCTCATTCAATGATGTGATCATGATCACCCCGTAAATGATGATCCTGTAAGGAACTTTAGATTTATGAAACAAAACCGGGACGCATCAACCAATTTGACGGGGGCACATCATCCAATGGCTCTTCCTGCCTTAGGTGAGGCAAGTAGGAGTTTCAGACTTTTACCGAGTGATAACCACCCCGTTCCTACTTCTGCTGTAGCTCCGGTTACCTGTTAAATAGTCTGCGGCTCCGGAGCAAAAAATTCCTATAAGCAAACCTGAATTGCTAATACCCTATGCCACTATACCACAGTCATTGAAAACTAAAAGATAGGTAAAAAAATACAGTTCAGAATCTATATATTAAATAAATAGTATAGTTATCTATTAACCTTTGTGACACAATAAAAGGACAAAGCCCTTTGCGATTACAAATAAAGTTTCCAATTTGTTCTTTACCTAAATCGATAAACAATGCTAAGGTATTATGTTCAAGCATTAAGCTAGGAGGTCGTTAATGGTTTTCTAAGCCATTCAAAGATCGTAAGTACGTCGGTATTCACAGGCTGGTCGGCGGAATGCGCCTATTAGGTACTTGAGTTCCGCCTCTCGGATGCGCTTGCGTCGACGACTTTAGAATGGCGGGAATCTAACGAACAGACCAAGTTATGGGAAAATTGCGGCTGAGCTTCGATTGTGATTTAAATGTCATTATGAGAAGTGTTTGTCTGTCTGTCATAAAGCGTAAAAGACTATACAAGACGAGTTTAGATCGTCTATCAACGACAGCAAGTTAGCTTGTCTAAAACCAGCAATCTGGATAGATAGGTAAAGAATCTGTTATTTTGTTTGAATCGCAGGAAACCTTTTTGCTTGTATTCTTTTTTTTATTTTTGTCAGTGTGAACAGAATATACAATAGGAATTAAGAATTCACCTTTAGTCTCATGATAAGGACGAATAGTGTTTTTGATACTTGGATTTTATCATATTTCTTTGTAAATATTGTAAATGTGAGAGCCCTGTAATTAACTAAATCAAATTAGACTAGTAGATTGCATTTATGTCAGCTTGGAGTTGTCATGCTCACTCAAAGATCTCGTTGGCGGTGGCACGTGCATTGGATCGCTCGATTCCCTACAAAATGGTTGAGTTGGGCGGTGCTAGGTTTTCGCCAAATGTTCGTGAACGGGCACCGTCGATTGGAACTGGTCAGCTCCAGACTGTATCATTTTATTTTATTATCCTCAAGGTTATTTTCTTTTTCAGTCTTTCTGACTGGATTTAGGTGTTGCATTGTTCTCACATAATCGAAAAAATAAAACTATGTAACTAGAGAATTGTATTGTAAACCTGATTGAAAAAGAGTAACCTATGGAGTTTCTTGCTCGTTCTTCTCCATAGGAATCTACGCCTTGGAATGAGCAACTAGCTTCACTTATAAATTTTTGTTGTTTGACGTTCAAAAGTGCCATCCTGGTCTAATTGAAATAAATGATTTTGACTTTGACTTTGACTTTGGATATGGATTGGATAATTTCAACAAATACTTAGATCCTGTTTCTTGCTTAGATCCTGGAAGACTTAACGGCTTGCCGGGGCTCCGGCTCGAAGTGCAGGAGTAGGAATGGGGTGGTTTTTAGTCAGTAAGAGTCTGACACTCCCTCCCGCCTCACCCAGGCGGGGGAAGTCATTCTATGATTTCCACCCCTTAATAAAATATCCTAGTTAAAGAATAATTTTTTCCGCTGAAAGCTCAAAACTCACGTCACACTTGAAAAAATATAAAACTTTTACTATTCCATCGTTATCAACGAAACTAATTCTGAGAGTAAGCCGTTAAAAGGGGAAGGTAATGAGATTTTCGTCCGTCGCCATATAAAAACGTGTACAACGTACTTCAGTAGCCACAGCTTTTTATAATGCTCTCATGTCATGACGGGGTTTTTTAATCTGTGCTCAGATAACTCTATAAATTTCGTTGTGACCATTGTAGCGTGCTACAATGGAATCTTGGATCGGAATGGTTTTTTGTCCACATCTTCCGTCAGAGTTAATCTTTACAATATGCTTTTAGATTCATTAGTAAAAAGTTTGCCAATAATATCAAATAAGCTGATCTTATGTAACCAAACATAAATACAAGTAAAAACTCATTCGACTTGGAGTTCTAACAATTAATGTTAATTAATTAACTTAAGAATGTTTTATGTACGAACATCAGAACCTTGACGTTTGCTAGCAAAAAACTCACCGTACTTTTTACGACTTAATTACCTGCCTATTATTAGTTAAAGTCTATTATTAAAGAGGTATTATACATGGAGCCAGCAAAAACATAAACGTCAAAATAAATCCTCTGATGTGCGCTTTCAAGAAATGATTCTCA